ATTAGGTTGAGTAAGAGAAGAAGAGTAGAAGAGTAGAAGAGTAGAAGAGTATGATTTATTTTAATTTCAATGTTGTACGAGAGATAGTCGTGGATTGGATGTTTTGAGGAGGAGAGGTGAGGTTAGAGGGAAGAGGGAAGAGGTGAGAGGGAAATGAAGATATTGAGGAGAAAGAGGAGAGGGAAGTTAAGGGAGTGATTTGAGATGGTTATTAGGGATGCAGGGGAGTGAATGTAATATCACATAATCTGTTTTTGCTATATTGTAGATGTGGATTTAGATGTAGATGTGAATGTAGGTTAAGATGGAGGATACATTTTTAGAGTTTAATTGTGTGTTTGATTGTGTAGTTGGATGTGGATGTGGATGTGTATGTGTATGTGTATGTGTATGTTTTGAAGGAGAAAGAGAGAAAGGGTAGGTGGGGAGAGGGGGATAGGGGGGTAGAGAGGGAGAGGGAAAAAATGAAGGAATAATATATATTTTGGAAAGAAAAAGAAGAGAGGGAAGCAATGAGGGAAAGAATAAGAAAAAGAGTAAGAGTAAGGGGGGTGGTTAGAAAGAAGTATTTGTCTTTTGAGTAGAGATTAAGATTTAGAAATGGATTATAGATTTCGTGTTGTTTGATAGGGATCTTGGAGTGTTTTAGGGTAAGGATGAGGGGTGATGTTTGGGGTTTTAGAGGAGATGGATGAGAGGAGATGGATGAGAGGAGATGAATAAGAGGAGACGGATGAGAGAAGATGAATAAGAAGAGATAAATGAGAGGAGACTATTAATGGTTTGAGGGGTGGGTAAGAATAGGAGGATAGGATAAAAGGATAGAATAAGAGCATGGAATAGGACAATATAATAGGAGAATAGAATAAAAGGATACAAGAGGATAGAGGACAGAGATGGGAAAGAAGAGAAATTCAATTATGAAAATGACTTTCATTTTTTTCTTATTCTCCCGTAGAGGAGAAAGTTTTATTGAGAAATTAATGAGAAGGGGTGAAGAAGAGAAGACGAAGGGGGAAGGAGGGGGACGGGGTATGGTGTAGTGGGAATTAATGTTGGTAGTATAGAGGAGAAGAGAGATTCTGAGGAAAGGAGAGCAAAATCCTGAGAAAGTAAGAAAGAAACAAAAAAGATAGTGATGTGGATATAAGAGGGATTTTGTAAGCTGGTGAGAGGTCAGCAGGAGCAAGAGGGAGGTTCATTAATAGTTCTGATGGCATTTCTTTAGGTGAGGTTTGAGCTTAGGGAAGTACTTTATTTTAAATAAAATAAAATAAGGGAAGAGATTTTGATTTTAATGTTGAAATAGACGTTTATGATCTAGATATGACTTGAGACTTGACCGGGAATATTCATCTATATCTACATAGATGAATATTGGGGGGAACTTCCTTCTAGGTTAGCAGTAGACAAGTCGGTATGAATAAGAGGGAGTAGCTTAAGAGAGAACGATGATGCTGAGAAGTAATGTTGTATCATAATTAATAGCTGTGGAAGATGTATATTCGCGCTGGAGTATAGAAGTTGAAAAGCAATTAAGAAGAAAGAAAGGAAGGGATGATATGATTGAGATTGAGATTGAGATTGGATAGGTATATAAAGATAATTTCACACTACATGCATCCTTAAATTTAACTCTTGTTATATACTCCTCTTTCCTTAATAAAAATAAGAAAAAGAATATTAATAAAATTCAAGATTTTTTTATTAAATAAAGATTATATTTAAATACATCCATCAAACTAAATAGATGAACAAATAAATACATATTCTTTTTCGGATTTGACATAGCAATGAATAGGTACATTTTACCTCCCTTCTATCACATCAACATAAAAGAATAGATCTAGGAAAGGCATAAAATATCTTGAATTCTTAAACGAGGCCTTTTTTAGGAAGAATCGGAACAAGAACAGTATATAGCTAGATATCTAGGTAGAAAAATCATCTTGATATCTCACCTTCTCGTTAGAAGAGGGTGATGCATAGAGATGAGATGGATAAAATGTATATGAGGGGTAACTATCTTCTTTAGGATATCTCTCTCCATCTCTTTTACGGAAAGTCACCCAACCCAATACATAGAAAAGGTTGGACCTTACTAAATCTCTCAATATAAAACATGAATGCAATTTTCATCAAGTCCCACTTTTTTCTCGAGAGAAAAGGCCATAGAGCTGAGTGAAGCGAACTCGGAGCAATACTCCCATACAAGACTAGAAGCGGCTCTTTCTCATTTATTGAACTCTAATATCCACCCCAGTGGCTTAAGACTTGGTGCCAACTTCGTGGATATTTCCCCAAGGCTAGACACGGTGAGTCTGGAGGAATCGGGCCTATTGTGGATTATGGGAATCCCGCTCTCCAGCACAGATCAAGTGTCCCGCGCGTTTGACTAGGTGAGGTGAGATACTGTGAGCACACACTACGGAGGTGGATTCGTGGAGTGCGCTCGCTTCTCCATTTGGAGATGAAAGGGGATGAAGCTTTGAGGCGTGTATCATGAATGTATTGATGGGGTCAAATAGTGGATATGGGGAAATTGAGCGGTTGAGGGTAAGTGGATCTGGGAATTGATGGACAAGAGTCTCGACTTCGGTCCAGGTTGTTAAGAAGTGGATACTTATGAAAAAGCTCAAGAAATAGTATGAGTATCTGCTCTAGCAAGAGGGTTGGTGTATCATCAGGCGTAGGCAAATGCGATAAGGCCATAGACAGAATTAATGTCATGAAATGACATGTCAATGATGATGAATAACCCACTTGAAGCAAGCCACAATCACTCATTGTAGTGTGTATCCCAACCACAAGGTTCCGATATAGGACAGAGCCTCAAACATCTCGTCGGCTAACACTTTCACATGTTCCTCAATCGTATTCGCCTCTTGAAGAAGTTTCAAGCCACATTAAGATTGTGGCATGATTGAAGTTACATCACATTAAGCCTTTTGAAGTTTTGATAAGCTTCTAGAAGCCTTTTAGTCATTACATTAACAATAACCGATGATGAATGTGTTTTGTTCTTGGTGAAGCTTGTTCTGAGTGGTGTTCTGGGCGAAGGTGGAAAAAATTAAAGGTCAGCCAGCGAGAGAAAGGTAAGGAAAGGAAAGGCTTGATAAAATTTGTAGTATTTGGTTTGCCGATGAAGTGCCATAATTAGCGTTGAAAGATGCTTGAAGATGGCACTAAGTCCACGCTAAAGAAGAAGAAAAAAGCGCTAGAATTGAACTAGAAGCAGACTAGAAGGTCTGGAAATTCGTACCAGATTGCTCATGGGCGTTGTCTAGATTCAGATTAGAGAATTTTCCTCCCATTCTCTTCGGCATGTCCGTCTTTCCATTATCGATCTTTGAGAGCATTGGCTTTTCATGTGGTTTTGATACCATGCATGTTATCGCGATGCAGAAAGTAACCTTATGTGTACGAGTATGCATGAGTCCTGAAAGAGGTTCAGCATAAAATTCAGCGAGGATTCAATGATGAAGGGGTAATGATTGGAACTTGGAAGAGACGAGGCGATATTCGAGTACATAAGAATGAAAAGATGCTGATTACATCTTTTGATCACGTAAGATTACATGAATGATTATTGGTTGATCCCTTTCGACTAGGTCATGAAAATCCCCCGCACCATTCCTTCTCTTCCTGGTCTTCCCTGTCTTCCCTGTCTCCCTAGTCTTCCTGGTCTTCCCCACCAACTTCAGTCCGTGTACAAGTGGATCTTTCTTGGAATTTGATATTATTGCCCCTCTTGCCCCTCACCCTCGCACCGGATTGTAACCCATGGGGAAATACATAACAGGCTTAGCCCTTTCTTCCCAATGCACATATACGTGGATACCTACATGTTCATGGTCACTTGACCTCGATCTCATTCAAACCATGAACGACTAGATGCTCATCTGGATATTTCCCCCTTTGATCAGTGAAGCATTGGAGGTTGGAGAAGCATCTTAGTACCATCACTCGATACCTCCAAGATCCATAATAACCCCGACGACAAGGGCCATGAGACTGGGAAGATCATGTACGATGTAGATGATAGTATGGAGAAGGAGAAGAAGAAACCTGATCCAATGGAAGGATTGGTCCGGGTAAATGTGTTGAGGACATCATGCTAAATGGTTAAGCTTTCACATGAAGCTTCTCTATATTCGTCTTAGTTCCTTCAGCTCCTCTACATTTGCATTAGTTCACTTAGCTTCTCCAGATTTTCCCAGCTTTTTTCTCACACCCTCGACACCTTTGAACTTTCGCACTTCTTCAATAGATCGACTGCGGGACTTTCCTTGTTCGGTCATATTTTCGGAGCGTCCTAAAACGACTTAAAATATTTGACTACCTACGTAGTGCGCATCTCTCCCTTCAAATAGAACATTCAATGGCAAAATAGCCAATCAGATCAAATCAAACCTATCTTTTGAGACGGGATCGTAAACTAAAGTATGAATATAGCTTAGTTGATTTTAAGAAACTTAGACGGTCAAAACATCTGTCTGTCTAAAAGTATCTACCGATCTTTGGGGAGTACGGGATTTGGTTGATTCAATGATATAGACTATGCCGAACTGGGTAAGATTACATTCACTCAGACTTTTTATATCATTTGAATAATTTTATATTTCCAAAGTGTGGATACCCTTATGCAATCACATTGATTCAATCTACTTGATTGGATCAAATTATTCAAGGTCTAGGGTGAAAAAGTAAAGAGTCGAATGATGGATATCTCCGGTGGGAGATGGAGGTGGGTGAGTGGGTTGAATGATGGGTCTGGGGTAATGGAATGGAGACTGGGGTTTGGGGAAGTTCAACTTGGGAAATTCCTATAAAGATGGAGTAACCCAACTTCTAAATACAACATCATCATCAATTCAACCTCTCTCTTTCCAATAAGAACCTCGTATTCTCTCTATACTCTATAGAAGAGTTTCATTCTTATTCTCTCCATTCTCTCCACCTCAACGACAACAACAACACTTCCCTTCAATCCCTTCACAATGGCCGGTGGAATTCCAATTTCTACTACACCTCTTTCAACGGGTTTCCTCCGTGGAAGAGCTCTCATTTTTCCACTCTCCCTCGTCATTTCTCTATTCTTCCTATGGGGTTTCTCCTATGGTTTACTCGATGTTCTCAACAAGCATTTCCAAACAGTCCTTGACATCACCAAGCTTCAATCTACCGGTCTTCAAGTCGTTTACTTCGGTGGCGGTTATCTTCTCTTCTCTCCTATTGCCGCCGAAGTCATGAAGCGCAAGGGTTATAAGATTACTATCTTGATGGGTCTCTCACTTTACTCTCTTGGTGCCATTATGTTTTGGTAAGTTTTGGCATTGATTTACAACGTTGTACCACTCGAATCAGAGCTAACATAATATCCAGGCCAACTGCTCATTTCTCTACATACGAAAATAGAATTGCCTCATTTGGTGGCTTCTGTGCTTGTACATTGGTCATCGCATGTGGACTTGCTACTCTCGAAACTGCCGCTAATTCCTATGCCGTTGTTATCGGTGACCCAGCATCCGCATCAGCTCGTCTTCAATTTTGTCAGTCATGGAACGGAGTTGCTTCATTCATCGGTCCATTGATTGCCGGAAAATACTTCTTCTCGGGTGAAAATGCTCACAACTTAACCAATGTTCAATTCGTCTATCTGGCAGTTGCATGCGCTGGTGCCGCTATCGCCGTTCTCTTCCTTGTCGCCAAACTTCCTGAAGTTTCCGAAGAAATGCTCGAATCTAGCACCGTCAAGACGGAGAACTTGGCCCTCGATGAGTTTGGACATGAAATCGGCCAAGGACCAATCTATAAGCAATACAACATGATCTTCGCCTTCATTGCTCAATTCTGCTATGTTGGTGCTCAAGTCACTGTTGCATCATTCTTCATCAACTACGCTACCGAGAATGCATCTTACTCTTCCTCCCAGGCTTCTAACATGCTGTCCTACGCTTTGATCACTTTCACCGTTGGTCGATTCATCGCCACTGCTCTCGCAACCGTTTTCCAAGCTGATTTCCTCATGATCATCTACTCTGTCTTTGCAATCGCTTTCACAGCCGTTGTAGCTGCGTGGCACGGAAATGGCGCTGTAGTTATCCTCATCCTTCTCTTCTTCTTCGAGGCTCCTATGTATCCTACTCTCTTCACCATGGGTACTGCCAACCTCGGTCGTCATACTCGTCGTGGTGCAGGTATCCTCGTTATGGGTGTATCTGGTGGAGCCGTCTTCCCTCCTATTCAAGGTGCCATTGCCGATTCTGTGGGTACTAGAATCTCATATGTGGTTCCATTGGTTGGATTCATTTATGTATTGGGATACGTTACTTTCCATTGGATTAGACACGGAAGACATATCATGAGAGTCAAGGATGTCGTTTCAGCTGAGTTTGTAGGTGGTGCTGCAGGTGGTGTGGTTGAAAAGGTTCATTATGATGGAGATAAAGTAATGAGTGTTGAGCAAAAGGAAACCATCTAAACGAGTTCCGCTGTCTTTAACGATACTTTGGGAAGGATGAATTGGGATGGTTTGGGGTGTTTGGGATGGGATTACGAACATCTTAATAGATGAAACTTATTGTTTACTGTATATACGCGCTTTTTACTGGCATTTGCCTGGATGGGGTTTCTCTCTTCTCTTTATCAGATGAGATCGAATGAACGGATGGATGGATGAAAACGATACCACGACTCGAAATGGAATAGAGACATAGATTTCTAATAAATTCATATACTCATTATTTAATTTCTTCTCATCTTGAATTTGATGCATTTTTGTTTCTGAGATCTTTGATTCCCCCCACCCCTCCTCCCCAAACGAAAATATTTATGTTAGTAGTTCCTTGTTCACACTCCACACGTGTTGAGTATTTTCCTGTTTCTCTCCCTAACATACTTTTGTTAAATCGAAATTAGCTATATAACTAGCATCTAATACTAGAATTCATCAATCTTGCGACGTATTCGCATTCGAACTTTTCAGCTCGTGTAAATTGTTTCCAGAGGTGGTTCGCCAGGAGTATCAAGCCACTGTCAGGAAGATTTTTTACACACAGAATGCACGATTAACGCCTGTCTCACCACTTCATCCCAAATCTTCTTCGCTCTCTCCCGAATCCGGCACCTCAGGACTCGGCACCTTTTCCCTCGCCTCCGCCAGAAGTTCCGCATACAGCTCCGGCTTTTCATCCTTCAATGCCTGTATCCACGCCAAATGCGCCTCATCATCCTCCTCATCTTCGTCCAACTCAATCCCAAACCTCAACTTCCTCTCCTTCACCAACAACATCAAATGAAGATCCCTATCCTCATCCTCCGCCGCCTTCGCTTCCTCCTCCTCCTCCTGCTCAATCTTCAAATTCCAATCCCGCTCCCATAATTCCTTTACATGCCGTTCCGAAAACCGATACTTCAGCACATCTTCCTGCGATATCGCCCAATCGGGAAGCTCTTTAAACATATGCGGAATCCGCTTTTCATACCCGGATTGAAGAATCCTCCCTAATTTCTTCCCTTCAATCCTCTCTTCGCGATTCTTCTTCATCGCAGCCTTCACAACTTTATTCAACTGCGCACTATACATCCCCTCGATATCATCCTTCTGCTCACCAGCTTGCGCGCGCGTCGCAAATTGATAGATCATTAACCCCACCGTCCACACATCCGTCCGCGCATCATAGTATTCTTGATCCGGGGTCTCCGCCTCCACTCCCTCTTCAGCGGGAATGCGTCCACCCGGCGGGAGGAAATTCGCGGTCCCGAAATCCCCAACTTTGATATCGGGGTATACGGCTCTTCGCTGCTCCGGGGTAGATGCATAGTCCGGCCATTGCAGAAAGACATTCTGCGGCGCGAGATCCATGGTGATGACCATGGCGCGATTTCGATGTTCGGGAAGCGTATTGTAATCGGGATGTTCGTTGTGCAGAAAGAGAATGGCGGAAATGAGCTGCGAAAATATGTGCCAGAGGAAGAGTTCGGGGGGGAATCGACGTTCTGCTTCCGGGGGGAATGGGAGGAGGGGTTCGCGCCGCATGTGCCGACCCATGTTGACGAGGTTGACCATTTCGCTTCGTTTTCGCGCGCTGGCAATGCGTTGATGTCTTTTTCGATAGCCGCTCAGGATGCGGAAGAGATCGCCGCCATCGCAGTACTCGTAGTATGAAGCGAACATGACGATTCCTCGTTCTTCCGCGGCGCCGAATTGGGAAGTGAAATCGAGGAAGGCGTCCAGGGCGCAGATGTTGGGATGCCCGGATTTGATGTATTGCAGATAACAGCGATTTTCGCGGTAGCGTTTGGAGAGCAGATTGCGAGCGCCGATGAGGGTGGGTGAGGTGATGGTTGCTTCGGAGGAGGGCGTGATGGGGGGTGTATGCGAGAGGGGATCGGGTGGGGTGTGCGGCGTGGGGGGCTGTTCGCGTTTGCGCCGCGAGAGACGTTGGTCGGTGGTTTCGGATTGGAGTTTCAGCGCGTATCGTTTCTGGGTGAGGGTGTTGAGAACGAGGTCTATAATTGGGGGATGAGGTTAGCTTGTGGGTTTTGGGTGGGAATATTTTGGGATAGGATGGGATAGGATGGGATGGGATAGGGGTAGCGAGAATCCTCCGTTTCTGGGCATCTCATCTCATCCCTTTTTTTTTTCAAAACTCGAATTCCCTCTTTCCCGTCCAAACCGAAGGAACTAAACTTCTCCTTCCCAATCCACCCCTATATTCTCATACATAAAAGACGAATCAAAGAAAAAAAATAATTACAAACACTCCCAAACCCCCCAACCCCCAATATCCCCTCAAAAACCTGATTTTCCAGCCTCCCCAACCTCGGATCTTCTCTCCACTTATTCCGCCTAATACTCTTCGGCTCCTTCTTCAACGATTGATAATAATGCGCGAGTCGTTCTTCAGATTCATGGATATCGCGTTGTGAGAGCGAGGAGTTTTGGGGCGGGGATGTGGGTGCGTAGATGGATTCTGCGTTGGAGTCGGAGGAGGATTGGCTGGGGGTATCTTGGGAGGAGTGGTGGGAAGAATCGGATGCTTCGTCGTCTGAGGAGGGAGGGTCTGGGTCTGGGGGGTTTGCGGGGGGAAGTGGTGGGGGGAGGGGTGGAGGGACGGCCGCGGGATTGCTCCATAAACCTATTGCTTTGAAAAAACGCCGGGATATCTCCTGGAGGGTTCCTAGTAGTAGGATAATCTGTGGAGGTAGTCTAGGACCCCCACTTAGCGAAGTGTTGTTTTCTAGGAGACGGGTGTAGATTGTGACGATGAGGGAGAGGTAGAGGTAGCAGTAATTAAGTTTATTGCCTATAATGAATAGACGGGACAGATGTGGATATGATAGTAGAGGTTTGGGTTTGGGTTTTTGCTCCTGCTGCATGGTTTTGTTGGATTTGGGTTTGGATGGATGGATAATATTTTGGGGTTGGAGTGTTGCATGACATGTTTTTTTATTGGAAGTGAAATCGCGATCGTGAGTAGCTGGTAACAGCTTGGAGTACAGTCTGCTACTAGTATTTCTGAAAGAAATTTGATTTGTATTAGCTTTGTTATACTTAGATTTGCGAGAATTTCCAGAGGGAACAAAGAGATGTTGCCGCATTTGATGGGGGAAGATGGATTGATGGCTTTGTTATTTGGAAGTAAATGGATTATACATAGATATTAGCGAGAAATCTTCCTGAAATCTGTAGTATTGAGAGCATATTAATCAATCGATTACAGAAATTCTTGATAATCTTTTTTGGATAGCCTTGAATCTTGGGTTGGGGTGTAATCAAACACAACACTTGCAATTGTAGAGAATGGTTACAAAAGTGAGATTCATGAAACGAGAAGTTAGGACAAAGATTGCTGTGAATATATCATGGTCAGGTAGAGATAACTCGCTATAAAATATCAATATATCAAGATGAATGCGTATCTATCCTGAAATTCTTTACACCTTAGTGTTGGTACGTACTAGAGAATTGTCGCATATGATTACATTCGCTTGAAACTTCTGACCCCTTTTATCAACAACAGAGGAAAATGAACCAAGGAGAATATACGACGAGTACATTGTGTATTTCATTTTCTAAATTCAAAGTTTTAATCACTTGTAAGAAACTCACATCCCATCTATCGCATTAATAGATGTGTATAAGAAAGGAGAAAGACGGAAAGTCAACTGGACCTACTAATCATGAGCAAACCACTCTGCGTTTCCCAAATCAAGCAGTGTCATTACAATGCGAGCAAATTGTATATGGTAAGAAGGAATAGATAAATCACCACAGTCAAAAATTCGTTATAATTATTAGACTTTTCAACTCCTTACTACTCCTACCCACGCCCTCTTTTGGAAGATGTAAAAGAGGGATAAAGTGAAAAATCTCATTAATAAAGCGCTGATATAATAGAAAGAATCAATAATGAATACTGGATGATGGATTATGATAAGCGCACCAATTACCGAGATCCTTGACTAGGTAGTGATCAATCAATTGATTGTAAGATTTTACAAGATTGAGGTTAGCGAGAAGTATACTGGAAATATACTTGAGTGCAGGGACTTGTTTCTGGAGACAATCATATGGATCCCCAAGATCTCTTCTCTTGTTGATTCTCAATGTTCTGGTCCTGAAATGATACCCATGAGATTTTTGTGTTCGTCTGTATGAACGTAAGTGAAATTTTCAATTCAATGGCCACTATACTAAACCTAGGCGAATGCGAAAGAGACTAGCTCTTTCAGTAGCCCTTATTCAAGGCCTACTATTTGTGTACAATAACTAGCTCTTTAGATAGAATACAATATTGACATTGAAGACCTCCATATTGAAGGCGTTACGTCATCCGTATCCTTTTCAAACCAGCACGTCTCTTCCATGAATGCGACAAAAAGTAAAAATTGATGGCCGATGATAGCATTATGTAAAGACATCAAGAAGACTATTCTTGACTTTGGAATTTGATGGACGAGAAAGATATAGAACTCGTAAGAGCTTGGAAGTTGAAAAAATATAACGAGTTCACTAGGATATGTTTTGTTGGTCTCCTTTAACCAAAACTTTGATATCCAAGTATCCTGCCTCCTATGCCCTTTTCCATGCCTGTATCTATGTCTATATCCACCAACGCCGTCATTATGAAGGATATTGTACAGTTAATCATGAATATTAGTATACAAATCAAACCATGTCTCTTCCCAAATCATTCATCCTCTCAGCATATTCAATCTGAATTTCCGTCCGCCTCTCAATTCCGTCGGCCGGCCTCGAAACTAATTCATACTCCTCATTCTCCCCTTCCCCTCTCCTTTCATTATCAGCAAATCTTCCATCTGGACTCCTCAATATTCCCTCCTCACTGTGTCCACTCCTCCCGCTCCAACTCTTAGTCGTCTTAAGATTCGAAGATTGCGTATGGATAGTATCCCTCAGAGTCAATTCATTTGACTGATGACTCGCAGTAGGATCACTCCCACCACGAGGAGTTTTCTTAAATCCGCTCCAAGAACCCGATCGTGGGCCTCCAGGTTCACTATCTGAGCTGTGTTCGCTGCTGAAACCAAGGATTTTCCAGCTACGAAGAAGAGGTCGGAGGGTGGCGGTTGATGCAGCGACTATACCAAGGGCAATCTCAATCGTGGACCAGATGAAAACAGGAGTGATAGAATCTTTGTGAGGGAGATGAGATGTTAGTTGATGCAGTGAATTTAAGTGTGTATTGCTAAGTCAATGGAGACGCTAACGAGGAGCAACTTACACAATGAATCTGTAACATTCAGAAAAGCAACCAGATACTTAAGACGAATAATGGTAGCAGCACTTGCACTATTAAGGCAAAGCCTCGTGTCAGTTTCCCTTTGACTGTAAGTACGACGGATTGTCTCCTTACACGATTCCTAAACTCAGAATAACCATGATCGAGAACTTTAAACGAAGACCCATCTTGATTTTCCACAAAATTGGTATTGGCAACAATGCAAAAAGCCAATCAAAGAAAATTGTCTCGGCCGAGATGGCATATGCAAAATTCGCAATAATACGGGGTTCGAGACAAACTCCTGGAGTTAATGGATCCCATGACGCCTTTAATGGTCTGCACTGCACACAACTAATAACAAATGTTATTATTGTCCAAATCCATATTATGGCAAGACTGATCCAGATGACATATTTGTAAAAGGTTTTGACAGAAGTAATGCGAAGGAGGAGCAACCCGACGCTCGTTTTGATTATGGCTGTGCAAAGAATATAGCCGATTTCGACGAAGACTTGGTACTGGGTGTGTTAGAATCCTTCCACGAATTGTAACTCAATGCAGGCTGTAACTCAGAATGTATACCTTTGCAGCATTTATTAACTGATCGTAAGTGAGTTGAGCAGCATGCACTCCAATTCCATAATGAACACCAAGGTATGCAAAAATTGAATCGGCAGTATACGCAACCTGTAAGTTCGATTAGCCAAAGCTTATTTGAGATTCAAACGCCATCATTATATCTCAGGGTTCACTCACCAGTCCGAGAATAATCCAATAATCATCACTTCCAAAAGTCCTCGAAACGATTATTCTCGTATAACATCGCAATCCAACACTTAACCAAGAAAAAAACAGGCCTAGGGTCACTAAGGTCACAATCTGGATCTGTCGGCCTTCCATGATATAAACAACCGCTTCGCAGTGAGTAGCTATTCAGACGTTAAGAGAATCAACCATGATAAGATACAGATGTTAAATTTTCTTTCATCTACAAATTTAAGATTTAGACCCAAGCGGTTCCACATATATGAGGGGATGGAAGGCTCGACTGCACGTTCGACTTCCGCACTGAGATTGTTTTGGCATATTGACAAATCGAGGGGATTCGACGATCCGTGCAGAGATACCATACCATATGAGTTCTGATGTCAAGTTGGGGAAGCTGGGCAGTATGTATGGATGCGAGAATTAGCAAAGTGGGTCCTTTTAAAGAGGAGTTTAAATCCATTTCTGCTTAATTTCCGTCGAAATTCCCGAGATTGGGGCGGAACGGAGGCAAACTAGAGCTTTTTGCAGTAAATACCGAAAGATTCATTATCAGTTTATTGAGTTTTAGTTATGCGATAATAGTGATAATTATGCTCGGTTATGCAAGGGGAAGAATTCTGTAAGACCTGCATCCTGTAAACAGGTAAGGAAGGGACCTCTGCTTAGCATAGTGATGCAATAAAATTCCCCGAGGAAAAAGATCAATCAATTAACAGACATACTTTATCACACACTTGCTCGACTTGCGACCGCTTAGACTTTGAAGGTTGAGTCCTCGGCATCTAATTCTTAACAACCAATTAAACGACGATCCAGATGTTATCCTAGTGGTCGATCTGTGGGCCACGAAACTCAATGCCGGGTCAAGATTCAAAAGCCCCAGAAAGAATGTGTCGTCTCTCCAGACTGTAATTATAAGTTTAAAAGATTCGCCCTCTTGGCAACCAGGGCCTTTACGATTGGCGAGACTGTTGTGTCTAAAGAATTCGACCTCGGCTGACCACTGCCTACTTCATCATATCTAACCCCAGACTTTCTGGCAAGACTATTCTGTGAACCAGACCCTAAATACCAAGAGACTGAATCTATAAAGTTTACACGGGTATTTTTCAAAGGGTTCTTTCCGTGGTAGAATTGGCTAGTTAGGTGGGGTATCGAGAGATCAGCTCTTGTATTACCCGAATACAACTAATAGCTCAATAGCCATTCTCCGTACTTAGAACACTAAGAATCAATATCTTTTGTACCCAACGCAGTGATACACCAATTTGACTTAGGTAGGTCCATGACAGAAGGAAGGGTGGTGCTTACCCATAGATTGGTAAATAAAGTGGAGTATAAAAGATCATTCCTTTTACTGCCCCTTCTAGATCAATACAACTCTTTATATTACCCACTCATGCAATCTATTCTATGACGATTGGATCGTGAATGAGCATACTTACACACGTAATATAATTCAATTTCATCTCCACAGGCACCACAAATGGAAAAAGTAGGGTTCATTACCGACCCGTAACGTTCAGACCGAGCAATTGACAGCTCCTTTGCCATCGCTTCATACTCAGATATATATATATCTAGCAACCTAATAGTTGAAGATCTAGAAATATATAATTCGAATAGAATACTGTACGTTCCACAATAATATGACAAATAGACATCTATTTCCCGAAATACGAGTGCCGGACCGAAACTATTCAACGTTCTGGATATTTACCGAGCGCTAGATGAACAAACAGCTCAAGACTTCATCGTCTAGAGCAAACCCAAGAAAGAAGCGCAAATGTCACGTGACTATAATCGTCAAAGCCCCCTCCGCCCATGACTCGACGTCATTTTTCGAACGTCAGATGTATGAAACGCTCAAGTTCAGACCAAACATTGCTCTGTGCAGCAACATGTACAGAACTTAGTGATAAAACGGAACAAAAGCAATGTTTCAATAAGACTTTGTCTAAAACATCTATCACTTCCCACCCCCTTACTGTTATTTCAATATTGTCCTTAGGTAAGGGCTAGACATGGTGTGTATCGGTGTTGTCAGAGAGCAATCGCATGTCGATGTCGGAACTCCAGATTTAGAATTAAGAATCGAGGTCTTTTCTAGCTAGGAAGACGATACGAACTGCCGGGTCACCAAGATAAAGTAAACTAAACCGTCCACATCAACTCCTCCTTCACTTCCACCATCTATAGAACACCTTTTTAGCCTCAACCATAATCCTCACGGAACAATTCCTTGCGATTGTTTACATCATTCGAATGATCCCTCGTTGGAACTCGTTCAATCATGTTCATGAGCCTCGGTTCTCTTGCTGGACACTTCAGCCATCTGATGATACGATACAGAACCTGTAAAGTGATTTCCCTTACAATAAAAAGACTTTCGAGCTCCGGAAGTTGCTCGCACTTCATATTAAACGTTGAATTATTAAATGTTACTTCTATTAATACTATTTGCTAATGGATGATATGATTGATTAAATCAACCAAAGATATCTACGATATTGATTCTATGTGGCCAATTCACCCAAGCACCAAGCTAGATGTTGAGCCATTTTGACATGCCGGGTAGACCCTTCCGACCTGTATTCCCATGATACGCACTTGTTTATGTAGCACTTCCCGATTCAATAATCCTTCCCAGTGAAATAAATCCAGCATAAAGTGACATCCAATGGTATGAATGTTCTGGTATCTCAAATGATAAAAATGTAATTCCTTCCCATCCCAAACAGCCAATGAACACACTTTAGAAGCCAAGCGAACGCCACAAGCAAACTCCTCTCCAGAATCATGTTGGAGGGGTTGGACCTAATTATCCCACTCGCCTTCATCGTTACGCTCAACAGAAGCTCCCTTTCCGGAACTGAAACTCGCTCCTTTTGGTTTACCTCGTCCTCTTGAGATTGAACTGGACCTAGCTCGCTTCTTTCGCCCCCCTAAAACTCCGTTGCTGCCAGCCTTCCTCTTACGGCCTCTTCCGCTGCCACCCGGCGGACCAGGGGTGCCATCTTCATCATCGCTTGGCGTGCTCATTCTGCCTCTCTCATCAATCTCATCATTTTCTGCTGAGACCTTGAAGTCGTGATCTACATTGAGTAGTTCCACAAAGGCTCGACATTGCGCTTCCATTTTTTCCTCAGACTCGCAACTAGTCATTCTACCGCAAACTTCACTCCAGAATTTATCTCCAGAGACGCTTGTTACCCTTATTGGAGCCCGACTGAGATCTTTGGTTGCACCTTTAACTTTTCCATCTCTATTCATCAATCCAAACTGACGACGAAGATATGTACGAGCCTCCCACAAATTCGTAAGCATGATTGATATTGCAGTGAGCTGTTGTAGGCGCATTGAATCTCGCTTTGGTACGTCTGGATGAATATGACCATTTGCATCGGTTTCATTTGCTGGTTGGTCGAGGCTAATGTGAAGAACCTCTGTTTCAATCGCATGAGCAATACCCGTACCTGTACCCGCGACCAGTTTCTCCATCAAATCGATAGTTGACAGTAACTCATCCACGGTTTGATATTCGAAGAAAGCGAGATTCTCGATGATGAATTGCGCGAAATCCAAATAATGTGGTAGATCTTCAATGGCGTCGAGTTTAGCCGGGTCAAAATTAATTCGCGAGCATAGGCTATCGAACAATTTCTTTCGGTTCTTGACCTTGCTAATCTTCATGATTTCAATCATCATCCACAGTTTCGAGGTGAAGGGATTAAGTGTAGCACCATGAGTGTCCTTGACTACATCTCTCTGGTATGCGTACGCAGCCAAAACAGCTCGCATATATTCCTTCTCAAGAATCGTCTCATGCTTCTCATGAAGAGCCCTGTGCTCCCTGAATGCAATGTCAGCAATTTTGCTGGTGGGTGAAGTTTCCAAAGCAATAAGAGTGCAGGCGGTTTCCTTGGGATGAACAAGACCTTGTCTATTTATGCTTGCCACGACCTCTGCAGCAAGAAGTGCTTCCTTATCCTGGCTACCAAGCGCGATGCGAGCAATATCTTTCAAGAATCTCTGTGCGATGTCCAATGCAACACCGTCACCTTGACTGCCGCCCATGACACCCAATTTTGCCTTTGAATCTGTACCAGTGCCGACCGCACCATCGCCACTTTCTTCTGATCGCTTTTCCTCAATCGAAAGATACTCTTTGAAGGCTCTCATCACGATCGTCTCTAATTCCAAATCCTGATCACTAAATACTTGAATGAACGTAGTGTAAACGTTGGCGGCGGAAAAGTTCTTCGGCCAAGATTGACAAACCATACCCATTGCATCAAGCGCATGCTTCCGAACTTCCATAGGCTGAGAAGGAGTTGCAAATGGAGCAAATGTATCAACCATCAGCTTCGAAACCGAGTTGCCTTTCATTTTCGGAAACTCCTTCTCCTTGAAAATTTCATGCTGAGGATCAAGGTCGCAGTGCTTACCACACATGCCACAAATAAGGAGAAGTTTTGTCAGTTTCTTAACAAGATCAGCTCGTTTTGGATCGTTCAAATCGATGCTTTTCATCTTCTGAATACCAGCCAAACTAGATAATACGACTCTTGTTAAGTTATGATAATCATCAAGAACACTACTAATGATCCATAAGCATGCAACAATGTCATCTAAAATAGATTTGGGACTGCGTGTCATAGTTGGCAAGAGATGCTTCCTAATTTCAATGAGGAAACCATGTTGAACCTTGGGTAAACTAGGAAGGACATAGCGGAATATGATGACAACTGAACGATAGATAGCAGCTTCGTCACCGCTACCGACATTTGCAACATATGGTTGTAGTAATTGGATTTGATCAGCTGTGAATAGATTTGCATTGGACTTGGCAAATATGGTGAGTACTTCTAGAGATTCCCGAAGATTTGGTGCATCGGAATCCTCGGAAGTGGTATTATCTATAATTGTCTCGAACATAGCAGCAACAAGTGCTTTGCAGACCTTGAAATTGGCCTCGGGGTATTTTGACTTTGGTGAAAGTAGATTCTGGAGCACTTTGTCTAGCACACCAGAGGTTCCATTCTGTCTTTGAGCCGTCTTGATGATCAGGGTAACATGATCTGAAATGGCGAGCTTTGCTTGAACTGATGCATCTTCAGATCCAGTTATTTTGTAGAAAGGTAACATCCAAACTTCCTCGATTGTTGACCGGGCCAATTCTTGAACACTATCATCAAGGTCGGTGACTCTGTATAGAATAGCATCTGCAATTGAGGCCCTCACATCTTTATTGGTGTTGTTCAAGTAGATGTCTTTTAATAGTTTCATGGCTCGTTTTCGGACACCAACACCACTATCATTGACACGGTGAAGAATACTAGGAGTCATCTCCACCTCAAGTGATGGTACCAGTGAGATGCATTTTCCAATGAGGCCCAATGCCGAATCTCTTACACCGACTGAAGGGTCATTTGAGCACCTCAAAATCATTTGCTTGGCGGTGGGCTCTCTTTCAAGGATGGTTGGATCTGTTTCCAAAACCTGATTTACACTCTTCAGACTCTTACTTCTGACGGTAGCTTGTTCGCTGAACATTGATCGAAGTAGAATGTCCAGCACACGACTGAAGGATGTGCAGAAGGTTGAATGCAACAAGGTCACAGAGTAAGCCAAGCGGGCATGACTTGGGTCAACTGAGCCATGACCATATTCTGTAGAAAACCATTTTTTATCTGTGATCATCATTCTAAGTCGGTATGCCACTTTACCATAGTTCTCCTCAATACGCTCGTGATCAGGATCATTATCAAGAATGTTGTCGTATTCGTCTGTCAATTTTGAAGCCCATTCGACAATCATGAGAGAAATACTGCTTGCTAACTGAGGATCAGCAGAGCAGCGATCTTCCATGAAGTCTAGGCACATGAAGTAAGGTCCGCCCCATGTCAAAATTTCATGAGTATTTGCTTCGTGTTTAAGTGATTCCTCAACCATTCTTGAAAGAGACTGTCCCATGCGTCCATCTCGATTTTCAAGCGAGGCGGCACTCTTCCGAACGTGGAAGTGCAATTCCGAAATTGCTGCGCCCATTGACCCAAGAAGATCAAGGGCCATGTTCTTAGCAGGAGCAGGTGTTTTTTCTGCTTCAGCAAGCTGAACCATTTTGAAGAGGAATAGGCGTAAGAGTAGTTCTGCAGCAGGCCAGTCCGGTGAGTTCAAACATGTAACAAAGTCTTCGACGAAGAGATCTAGCAGATTCCGGTATGGTGTATCGCCATTCTTCGTAGATTTGATTGCTCTACTAACAATGAAATTGACCACATATCCTGTATTCTGTGTCGCACTTTCCAGTAGTGAAGCTCCACAGTCTTTCAGCTCTTGGATCGCTGTGACGTTCTGTTCGATTGCTCTTCTTTCTGTATCGTATCGCCGACGATTATCAGCATCATTGATTCCATCATCTTGACCCTCATCATCTCCAGTTAGAGCATCTTGGGCCTTTCGTCTTCGCTTCTCTTTTGCATCATCCGTTTTGCTGGCACTTGTCTGAATCAGCTTCATAATCAAAGCCGAGACAAGCTGAATGCTTCCCCCATCCGCCAATTTAAATTGCCGAGCGCTCTGTTTGGTAACAGGAAGCTTCTCCAAGGATGTCAGAATTTCATTGAAGATTTCTGCTCTTTCTTTCGGGTTGTTATTGAATACTTGTGCAAGTACATCCATCGCTATGACTCTAAGATTGTCGAATTTGGGGATACCAAGTACGGAGTCTTTCTCTGCATGAGCATTCTCGACAAATATCAATTTGGAGGCTGCATACTCAAGACTGTTGATGACCGTTTCAGATAGATCAATATTGGCCACGAGAACTGCCATGAGTGACAAAAGGCGTCTGCATTGAGCAAGTAAATTAAGAATAGCTTTCTTCTGGGCAGAAAGTAGCTTGAACAATGTTGAAGTCGACCCCGTGCTGCGAAGTTCCACAACCGGGATTATGAAATTCTCCATGATGTTTTTAAAGGCATTCAAAGTGGACTGAATTAGGTCTTCTGAGTACAGCTGCTTCTCGTCACGCCCGCCAGTCATAACTCTGAGCGAGGTGCGAGCAGATTTGAGTCCAAGTTCTGCATTTGAAATCTGTAAAAACAGACTTTCGACATCTGACTCTCCCATTTCCTCGTCGATCTTCAAGTCGAGTGTCTCGGCTTCTTTTAAAGCAGCTTCAGAAAGTTTTTGAATTCGAATTAAGTCTTCCAAGGGAACCTGTTTGATTCTGCCAACTTCAATAATTCTGTTCAAGAGGCCCTCGAGTCGCGTTTGAGTATTAGCCGCAAGGCCGATTCCCTCGTTCGTCGAGATAAGGAAATTGCTAGAGATGTTAGTTTCAGGCTGGAATTGATTTTCGGCTTCGAAAACGTCTTGAAGATATTCTCGAAGGTTTCGCGCGGCAATATCGGCCTTCTCTCTTTGGTCGATCACTCCGGAAACATTCCCTTCATATTCATCGGAGCCCGCTCGTCTTCGGTTCTTAGCAGGACTTTCAGGCGAGTCTGGAAGAGGTTCTACAACTTTGTACTCTTCTGGTTTTATCTGTAATTGTGGAATGATAACGGATATGCCTGGTTGTGAGGAAGAAGGTGGAATATTCTGACTTTGCTTGCCATCCTGAAAAGCGGCTGGTGCAACTTGTGGAGGAGCAACCGACGATTGAATATGCGATATTTTGGGACTGATCTTCATGACATGTGAATTTGACGCAGGGCTTGGACTTTGTTTGTGAATAGGCGCAAGTGCCTTTGGCAAAGGAATTTCGACCGCGATTTGCGACTTTGCTTTAGGCGGGACATTCGCATGTTCAGCAGCAGGCTTCGTAGTAGTGGCTTCAGAGAATATAGTAGCGTTTGTATTCACAACATGGGCCTGCAAGTTCGTATTTCCATAGCTGCTACTTGGATTTCTCGACTTCGATTGCGACTTGGTTCTCTGCTTCTGGATTTTATGCCTCATAGCTGCCACTTCTAGACGCTCCGCAGTCTTATACTCCACCTTAGTTGAGTCGTATAGCATCTGCGCAAAGGGTGAAAGGTTTGGTTTCAATGGAGTAGCATCAGGAACAGATGCGATCTTTGGTCCGATCTTGAAGTTACTTTTTTGAACGTCAGTCAGATCGAATTGTTTGCTGGATTTCGAACTTACTATATTGTATGGTCTTCTGGTTTGAGCAACTGTTCGAGGTCTTTCAGAGTTCGTTGCAGGCGCTGCGAGGTCTGATATGGATTTGTTGTTTCGGCGTTCAAACTTTCTAGACTTCCTCTGCCATGTTGAATTTCTGCTGCATTTGAAAATAATGAAGAGGAAGAACCAAGTCCTATTGTAGGTAACGGGATGATATCTGTAATTTAAGTGTTATTAGAAAAACTGATAATAGTAATTGGGGATAGGATAGGTTGAAAAGTGAAGAGAAGGCAAGTTACCAGAATTGAAAGGAACGACAGAGGAAAAAGGTGAATATGGAAGAGCTTCGTCGACGGTGAATGGCCGTGGCCTCATTTGACGGGTTTCACTTGTGGAAGACGCGCCATCTGTCCCATTATGGCCATTTTGGTAGTTATAACCATAGCCATATCCGTATCCATTACTTGAATCCATGGTGAACTTGTTCAGCGTAGTGAGGCGTGGATAGGCGCAAGGCCGGAAGGCTCGTAGAGGTGTGGTGGGAAATTGAAGATCCAATAGAATTGATTTACAAGATCATATCGTTGTACAATCAAAAGTCGTTATCCGCAAGACATACTGTTTCTCTTGAAGCATAATAAAGGTTGTCGACGAACGACCAATTCGACTTCACCATTGAATATTATTATTAGTAGCCGTCCGTTACAACTTATGTAGGCAGCCTTGCGCTAAAGATCTGGATTGGATGGGCCGTCACTAGCGGCTTTTTTTCATTTCGACTTTGGGCCTTGCATGCATACCTTGCAGATATAGAAATTTATTTTTGAGGAGCATCAAGAAAACATCAAAACACCAAAATCTTCAAAACTTGACAATCAAACAGAACTTCAAGATGTCTGCAGTTGGATCTCTGGTATTTTGTACGGATTGTGGCAATCTATTGGAAAGTTCTACTGGTAATAAGAACACTATTTTAACATGCGATTGCTGTGGAGCAGAAAATAAAGGTACGCGCAGCGCAATATGTTTCTTACTATTGTGAGAGTGAATAGTACTGATCAATTTTTCCTTCTAGATACTGCTTCACAAACAATCGAGACGAGAACAAAAGAAGCATCCTTCCCCTCAGTATTGCGCCAAAAAAGATCAGTCGTTCAAACGGTAGAGAAGTCTGATTATGAGAACCAAGCAATGAGTAAAACACCATGCCCAGAATGCGGCGCGAAGGAGGTCAGATTCACAGCCGTACAATTGAGAAGTGCGGATGAAGGAAGTACCATTTTCTACAATTGTACCTGTGGAAACAAGTAAGTTTGCATAGTATTGATACAATTGTTCCTTCCCTACTGACATATACTAGGTGGACCGAGAACAATTAATTTGCGACGCACGACGCATGGACATGTTACTTCACGATTCACGAATTAAAAATCATATGGTATGGGGACTTTGATCTGGTGTTTGGTAGGAAGAAATGGTGATATTTCAATGGGCCAAGCACTTTGGCACCAGCCGTCTATTTTAGTAGAATAAATACGACGCGTTTTTTTGGGAAAAATAAAAAGACTTATGCGGCTGCGACAGCTTCCTTCTCTGGGATCAGCGCATACTCGGTCTCTCCACTCTGCTCGAACTCCGCCATATCCAACGCAAGGATGACACTATCTCTCACAACCGAATCCTTATCGTTCAAGAACTTTTTGAGGGTATCTTCGACGCCTTCCTCGTCACCTAAGCTTCCCAAAGCCTCGGCCGCTTCATGTCTCACCATACTGACTTCCTCCAAATTACTCAGAGAATCAGTAAGGGCAGGAATGGATGCTGGATGAGACAATTGTCCGAAAACGAAAGCGATTTCGTGTCTGAAAAGTGCAGATTTATCATGGAGGCCTTTAGCCAAGGCAAGAACAGCAGGGACGGCGGTAGGAAGATCTGGGGGTGATGCAAGATCTCGGAGACCAAACATGGCTCTGTATCGGATGAATAGAGGAACTTTGGTGTTCAAAAAGGTTTCCTCAAGTTTCTCGACTGATAGTGATTCTGAGTTCTCTTCTGCGGTTGGTGGAGCAGGGTCAATAGATGCGAAATCCCTATAGTTAACGATATTGTCAGTAATGCAATGCAAAAAGAATCCCATGCAACTTATGGAGGAACTCTCTCCAGCATTGGAAAATTGGAGCGTATCACTACGCTACCTCTGCTATGTGCATGTTGTGTTCTTCTGAAACATATGAAAGGTTCACTCACGATTGTCGTAGTTTTTCTGCTTTACCAGCGTCCGAATGTGCCCACTCGATGTTCTCAACACTCAATTCGCACGTTTCCCTAACCTCGACCGGCTCATGGGGGTCATCCCTCCTCTCTTTGAGTAACTGCAGACAATCTCTATCTGCCAAAGCACCCAGAGCCTCAGCAGCCTCATGTCTAACCATACTATCTTCCTGTCGATTCTCCAATACCCCTCTCAAGAATTTGGAACTCTCAAGGTTCCTGGTCTGACCCAAGCAATAGGCAAGCTCATGTTTCAAGAGCGCGGATGGAGAGGCAAATGCAGCCGCAATGGCTTCGATGGCGGGAACATTCAAGGGTGAAGATGGCATGCATGCGAAATGTTTAAGGGAAAAGAGGGCGCGGAATCGGAGACCGATAGGTTGGGCTTCTGAGCAAAGGGTTTTGCGCAAACTGAGGATGGTAGCGGTTGTAGTAGTCTCCTCTGGAGCAGGAGATGTTGCTGATGGAGCCATTTTGATAAGTTTCTCTTAATTTGATTCTAAATGATGTTGTGGTAGAAATGTGGTGGTATTTGAAGAAATAGGTAGCTGGGAGGAATAAATTATCAAATGATCGGCTTAAGGCGCATGGGAAATCAAAGATACAAAGGGTGCCCGCACTAAAAGATTCGAGAAAAAATTGTGGCCGATTCGCGGGGTCTATCTAGATTACGTAACATGACACATGCATCTGCGCCTGCTAGGTTTGTAAAAGTGGATCTATACACTAGAAGGAAAAATTCAATATCTCCACATGCGCGAAAGGTAAAGAGAAATACAACTTTAAAAAATGTAAATCCCAAAGGGAATAGCAAAAGAGAACTCGCGGTTGTACCTCAGGATCGAACTGAAGTAGCAAACAACCTTCGTGTGAGAAGGTCGTAATAGGAATCGAACCAATATCTCCGGAATCAGAATCCGACGTGCTAACCATTACACCATACAACCAGAATTGGGAGTTCTTGTTGTGCTCGAACCTACAATTATAATTATATCAACTATTTCTAAACAAACGGTAAAGTATTCATAACAACCCTTACACCAAAATAGATTTTCACATCTATCTCTAATATAGGATCTGATTTAGAATACTAGGTAGTATCTGGTTGCCGTGCTCGAGTCCTGTTACTGAGAGTTTCTAAATGTCTATCTTGATCTTAATTGCTAATAATGTTTGATTGTTGAATTCGAATCTGGTCATTGAAGATATTGAAATATCTAAGCTGATTTTGGATATTAATAGTATCTAATTATCAAATTCAAAATAGATATTGAAAGTATTAGAATCCTTGATCTGAATACAAGGGAAACTACTTGGGGACGGCAAGCACTTGCTGCTGTATGTTGACCAGATATCCTGACAACACGCACAGAGAGACAGTTTGACTTGAAGAGAAGCAAGCCTATGAGCCTATCTCCAAGTTGGTTTTTAAACTGGCACGAATTGATGCTACAAGATATAGAAGCATTTGTCAAAGATGCAATCGCGGATTTCGAATATTGTCCTCCGCCTTATTGTATTGCACTTCGCAATTTCTGTGAGGTGGATAGAGACCTCACTATCGAGGAGGTACGATGTTATTGCTGAGATTCAAAGTTTGTGGCCAGAGATCAAAGAGATTAGGTGGGAAGCGATTAGGCAAATCAAGAAAGGTCTTGTCGATCTTCAAGCCGAACTAGAATATCGATTGGTTAGGACAGTTTTGGCTGAAGGTGGACATATGTTCCGATATCATAAAGACATTGAAGAAAGGCCCCCGAAGGCCCTCCTAGTCTAATCGTTGCAATTCGGATGAGCGGAGCGGCAAGCAAACCTCTGAATGCCTCCAAGGATGTTGACGAAACTATGGATGACGAAGGGGACGAGGTGAATGATACGGTTCGGTGGAAGTGACTCCTGCGAGGCCATGCAACACACAAATCAAGTGGAGGAAATTGCTCCTAGTAATATCTATCTCAAATATGGCATCTGATTTTGAACATTGATATTTTCTAATTGTTAAATTCAATATAAATTATTAAAGATATTGAAATATCTGAACTGATTTTAAATATTGATAGTATCAAATTATCAAATTCAAACCGAATTATTGAAACATGTAATATAATATGAAATATTAAAAATATGAAATTATCAAGTTCAAAACAGACTATATTACAAGATTTTCCTCGTCTGCAACTTATCTCATCCATCTTATATCATACATTAGTAAATATTTGAGCAAGGAATATTTAGACAATATAGCCGGAGATAGATAACCTTATTCTAATTCCTTCTTTTCTCTTCTTTCAATGCGATCATAAATCCTTTAGCGACCTAACTCACCTAGTCTTACGATCTCCTCGTCTGTTTATTGGGTACTGGGTTTCTCTCCTAGCACATCGGACTTAGCTCAGTTCTAGTTTCATTCAATACATTGAGATATATCAAAGTATCAGATCTGTCTGGAGCAAAATATGTAGCTACTGGGAACGTTGGATCTCACTCAAAGAGCATTATCATGGTGTTTCAAAATCTGAGAACTTTCAAAGTTAATACGCTGCATATGTCTGCCATTAACATTTTCTTCGGTGAGACACTGCAACTCCCATCTAGAGTCGCCGTCAACTAACCTCCTAACAGGCTGCGGAAAGCAAGATTAAATTCTTGATAGTAACTACAATCGAAGGGATTCCAGGATATCAATCTATCAAATCACTCGGGTATTTCAACAGATCTCAGTGCGTCAAATAGATTTAGAAATCAAGAATCACTCATTGTGGGACTGTAGTCTGCATTATCGAATCTATGGCCAAGGAGCCTATTACTCTTCCTAGAGATAATTATCTATTTTTTTGCTTTGCTCATGTTCCAGACTCCAAGAACATACTCTAGTTGATGGTGCTCGTTAGTATGAAGTCTATCTAATTCCGAGGTTGCCGATTCAATTTGCTCAGTTTCATCTTGGTCCATATAAAATGTTGTGCCCGTCATGTAACTAACTCTCATCCTCGGCCATACATGATGATTGAGTATTCTATTCGTTGGATAACAACTGAGGAAAAATATTGGCATGGAAGGCCAGGTCTTGAATTCGCCGCTGGAGGATCTAGGCTACGCATCGGGTACCCGCGAGGCGGATCATCTGTCGGCGGGGTGAGAAAGTCAAAATCTGGGACGGGTCACCCGTGGAATATCTGCGAACTATCTTTGGGCACCTAAATACCTTTGTGTTGAATGGTATCAGTATAATATAAGCTTGGATCATATCGAGACTATGAAATGATTTGGGAATAACCTTAAAAATAAGCGAAAAATTGGAATATTCCACATATTCCGCAGATCAACTGCGCATATTCCGTGATTTATCTGTTCCAGCTTTTGAATTACCCGTCCCGGCCACACGAGCGGACCCATCGCGCAGCGCAATGGCTTCCGAGGACGTTGATGAAATGGCAATTTCAACCTCTCGATATCGAGTATATTCCATAGTATTTGAGAAGTTCGTTTTTGAAACATCACCCGCTCGACATGCGAGTGCTGCTCAGGGTGGTGAAAGGACCGTTTTATCAGGTTGCAGTGTCATAGTGTCATTTAATGTAATGTCATATTAGTATGAGATGCCAATGTCGGTGATCTTATCAAGAATTCAGATCACGATCTTGATAGTCTCATCTGAAATATCGTTTGTATATAGGGTTATTGTTTGATATCATTGAGAAAGATTATACTGCTATTATATGATTGAATTGGCTGTAGAGCTTTACGAGTTCGTCAGTCGTATGAGTTTTGTTCGTGTATTCTCAACTGATCATCATACCAAGTCTACATCCCTCGTGCTGCTATCATAACCGCACTCATAGCTTTGCATACATTAGATCAGATGTATAGGATAGGGTTAATAGCTTCGTTAGTGATGAAGTTATAATTGTTGGAGCAATATTATTTGACTAGATACAGTCAACCACTCAATCGTTATAGGAATATTATATGATGAGTTGATAGCATTCGCAATGGCATTTTTAGAAGATATTTTGTTGAAATTTGTATTGAAAAATGTTTGATTGTTCATTTTCAAAAGGGTTTCGATATCGTGATTTTGGATGAGACGAATTATGTAATTCTGATTGCTCAGCATGATGTTGTTATAGGACGATATTTTGTATTAGTATGATGGGTGAATAGTTAAAAAGGGTTGATGGATATGGTCTGACTGTGTACTTTGATATGAAAGCTATTTAACAACCTTAGTGTATAGTCGAATATGAAAGTACCTGATCGATGGAGTCGATCCAAAGCTCACTGCATACATGCTAGATAGATGTCATTGCTTCAATGCCATACCAAACGTTGCTAATGATGAGCCGCGAGTGGTAGTCATTATATCCAGAGCAGCGCTCATTTAACACTAAACTAACACATGTCGATCTCGAGTCAATAGAGAAAAAGGTTAACTCTCACGTATATCTCCCTTCATTCATGAGGGACTGCTCGTATAGAGCATTGCATATCTCCCTACAAGAACATCATTTACAGCGATGAATAGCCTCAAAAATGAGGGAATTAGATACAAAAATACTGTGATTGATGCGAATACTTCTTCGGACAGTCAAGTCATCTCGAACGACGATCCCAAAATCAAGACACATATTTCCTGTCTAAGATATTTTATCTGCTTGCAGAGAGATGCAGACCATTAATTCAAAGTTCTGTGATCTCTCTCACCATTCACTAATGTAAAATAACGTTTGTTTTGTGGACTAGCGAAACACCAACACTTATCAGATCAATGATTGTGGAATAGCATGTTACCACAGCCCCGCGACGGCATAATGTAATATTCTCAAATCTCATATGTAACAGTCTGGGAGAATTGAAGGATTTGTTGAGGCGTGCCAACGATGAATGGTTCCAACCATCACTTGGGTGCACGGAGAGCGGGAAATGAGGGGCACATGTATGAATACTGGGCACCCCGAAAAGGCACACGCAACAAATGAATACTTTCTTTGTGTCAGAGGAGTTCGTCAAGAAAGTTGAGTGCTATTGCCTACTCGAATCAAGTAGCTGAGATGGTCATCTCCTTCAAACAGAACAAAGGCAAAATATAAGAAATCTGTATAGCTTATGCTTGCGAGCGAGGGAAATGTACATCATATCATTGTCATAATACTAATCCAGGCTCTCACCTCTTTGAAAACCTTGCCATTGAAAGGTAGCCTGGAATTTTGGTCAACCTTCACGTTGCAGAATAGATCAAGCAGGAAAAGAAACGATGCGATTGCCGTTCATTGCCATGCAGTGCATATCTCATCAATACAGCCGAGATGCGATCCAACATAGCATTGACGTTGGCATCAAGCGAAAAGCTCTAGCTATCCCTCTCTGGTTAATAGGAAAAGCAGATCATCTTTAAAAGAGATATTCCAATTTCTCAATCCAAGTTCAACAATGAAACAACAGTATCCCGTGCCTGAAAATATACAATGCCTCCAGATATTTGGAAACAAGAAGAAGTCCGAAAATGCAATACAAGATAGGATTTTGGAATGTCTGAAAGAGAACAAAACAATCAAATGGTAATTCTCATGACATAGATTTCCAACGCGGTATAACCCGAGCACAAGAGGGTCTCAAGTGAGAGCCTGATGAACAACTACGTCATCGGGATTGGACATCAAAGGCATGGGTATGGAACTAATGTAAACTAGCTTTTCGAGTTGCAGAAGTATAAGATATGGATGGGCATACACGACGAGGATAGGCAATGGTCCATGAAATTCGGAGTCTCGGAAATTCAAGTAAGAACCCACGCAAAATGATGTTGAACTTGATAGGAAAGGATATGAGGACTGTGAAATATCACGAATACTTAGGCTATTCTGCACGGAGACAGATTTGAGAAATTCTCTTTGCGTTGTCAAGGTAGATCAGTCCCTTATTTGAGGAGCCAAGTATTGAGAGGGCAGAACTATTTCTACATTCAGGGTCAAAGCTAGGACTGTGTAGAAGAAGCTTTTGTGATTGAAGAGACCTTACGCCCATCATCAAAGGACATTGGGTCGTTCCTAAGCCCTACCTTAAGGTTGGTTGGTGTTTTGACTTGCAACTAAATTTTTCTAAAGTCAAATCAGGGAACCGACCACATCGGAATCGGCATGCGAGAGACAATTGTTTCTTCGCCGCGCAGTCAATTATTCCGGGCCGGAGCGCTTTGTCCGTTGTGGGCAAGGTTTGGAAAAATCCTTAAGAAACGGACTACATACACCTAGGTAGTAGTGCGTCATTTAATTAATGAATGTCAGCTGTTTTCACCAGCCTAATCACTTGTTGGCAGGATCTTACACTTGTTTAACTGCATTATGAACTGATGAGGACATACTCTGTCTCTAGTGCAACCAATCACCATGAAGCACGGATTTTAAACCCAGAGCTAAGGTTATAACTGCGAAACCTCCTCCTGGAAGAAGAACGATCAATACAGAAGGTCTGAAAATACACCAAACAAAAGATTACACGTTTTGTTGAACTGAATCGCGGAAGGACCACCTGTTCTTACCATGTACATACACTGTACATGTACATGATGTATGTGCAAGGTGAAATTAAATATCACATGATCGTCCGCCAGAAAGAGAGGAGCTTAGGCATGTCTTGACTCTTGAGTCTTAGGCCCATGTGTGCAAGACGGGACCCTTGACTACATGGAGGGGTTGGTTCACAGTAGTGGATAGATCAAAAAGATAAGAAAACATAGCCAGAGGTGGATGCAGAGGCGCGAATTGACAATGAAACATAAACAATTGGTAACATGAAAAAGCAAGGAATTGTCCTTAAATCTGAGTGAAAAAAATCGTGTACCATCATCAATCAGAGTTCAGAAAAGCAAAAGTTTAAAGAATGCCCACTACTGGAATCGAACCAATGATCTTAGCATTTCCATATTCTGAGATACGCTGATTATATTGTTAGAAGAAATACACATTTGAGGAATTGGAATTTAACTTACAGTGCTACGCGGTACCACTGCGCCAAGTGGGCGATTTTGAGTTATTGTTGATGGAGGGACGGCTCAAAATGGAATATATATTCACATGTGTGATAGGGCTGTGAGGCATCAAAGCGGTGAGAAATTATCGAGACTCATAACTCCAGAGTTTAAGCTCCATGTGGCACATTGAACCCAATATGTATAAAATTTCAGTTGCTCCTTCACTCCGTTTCCACAAGTATTTATGGTTAGTGCATTACCTCATGCTTTGTTGAGGTTCGTTTGCCACTTCTTTGGAGGGCATAACTCTGCTTCGACCTTTGTTAGTTTCTACTAGATAATCATAATCCTTGATTTACACGTGATCCTTGTCTTTGAGATTCACAGTTGGATTTCAAGGCCACCACTCATTAATAAGGCATGAGCAAGTTAGTCACTGGGTGTTTCATTGTAACCTAAGGCCACTATTATTGAGCTAGATGGATCTCTGTACTTTAATTCTACAACAACTATACATCTTAATAAATTAATCCATCTATGGGATACACTTCGCAGTACAACCTTCGATTTATTGCAGTCCATGATAAAGTTAAATGGCATCGATATTCATATAATCTGTATCGTAAAGCTACGTCCGGAAATCATATCCTTCTTACTCATTGTCGCGAGGTCACTGAGTGGCGAGAGAGTGGCGAGAAGCAACAAGAGCCGCGTTTTGGCACATTGGTGTCTCGCGCCCCACTCACAAATATACACCGCAATAGCGGAAATGAGAGGATCCACAGGAAGATTTCCAATCTCGATCGATTCCCGACGAAGACCTGATCAAATTGTCAAAAATACTGATCCCAGGCCGCCGTTCGACTCTACGACTGGCTACCTCCAACTTCCCCCATACACCGAGTTATTTCCACTCCATCCTACGAGAATATTGTCAGTGAATTCAATCGGATAAAGTTGGGCTACATACTGGTTCTCCAGTAGGCTCGAAGCTGTTAATCAGTTGGCTGTCGTATATGATTTTGGGATTGCCTTTGACTCCGGTGTCTAGAGCTTCAATCCCACCATACTGAGTGGCAGATCGTTTTGCAAACCCATCAGTATCTAGCTGTCCCTCCTGTTTCAGCTTTTGAAGTTTATCCTCGACACTGCTTCGCACATATTGCAGATATGGAGGATTTCCTGGACTAATAACATTGTCGGCAGCAAGAACTGTTCCTTTTTTGATCAGGCCCAGTTGTTCACATAACTTTAGGTCAGTCGTGTATGCTGGCTTATAGTGATCTAGGAACATCATATCAATGGTCTTCAATCCGCGAGAATGTAGTGTTTGAATTCCCTCGTTACTAGGACCAACGATCACTTCAACAAATTCTTCGAGACCAGCAAATTCCACGAGAGCAGTGATAACTTTCGCGAACTTCGGGCTTCTCTCCAATGAATAATACTTCGCTCCCCCTGCAGCCCGTACTGCTGACGCAAAAAGTATTGTAGAATATCCACAATACCCTCCGAGCTCAACCATTATATGAGGCTTTCTTTCACTGATTATCTTGGTGACAATAGCTCCTTTGTCCTCTCCTACATTCATGAGATATCTCTTCGTTCGTCCATACTCATCGATAGCTTTGAGAACGTTCGCCGGCGAACCTTGAATCTTAGATCGATCGTGATGATTTCGCACAAACTCGACAAGTTCTTCTTCTCTACCGTCATCGAACTACGGATAAAGTTAGCAGTGAAACGTCCTGAAACATAGTCAGAAAACCCACAAATGTTTCTTCCTGTGAAGCATATGACTTCGTCTTGTCAAATGGAGCCATGTTGTTGTCTTTGCAAAAGGTGCTGAGGGCAATTTGATACCTACTATTGATACTGCTTGAAGTTTCTTGTCACTGTCTGCTAAGCAGTAAATCTAGTACCTAGCACAAACGTCTAGGAATGGCATAGTGAAAATAACCATGTCTCACTGCATACAACCTTCCGATATTTGTGGCCTTGATTTCTAGGCACAGACGTCGTAATCAGATCTTGATTTTCGCATTAGTTTGAAAGGTGTTGGTGTCATTGACTTTCTCGACGTGTCGTATTCGGTGTTCTAATATCGAACTATGTCCCCCAGGATGCATGCATCAATGCACCTAATTGTACTAAGGCTTAGACTACTGTTTTAGCGTGACAGGCTATGTGGGGGAGCTCAAGGAGCTTCCCTTTGTTTATCAAATCTGTGAACAAAGGTCGGTGCTTCGATGAAAGCATACAAAATACGACAAAGCTACAGAAATGTTACCTTGTCGTAGTTTACAAGATAGCAAATGTACCCCAATGGAAATGACAAGCAAACGCACGCCTTCAACCTGAAGTAGTACGAACGGGTAGATGCGGATGCTGTGCTATCATACCAAGTGTCAAGATTTCCGAACAGCAAAGCTATGAAGATAGTGTAAGGTGAACCATGGACTAAATCTACCCGAGATCTCGAACCAGCTGATCGTGGGGTCATGGAATTCGCTCATGCTAGAGCATTAGCATGCCAGGCGCGGGCCGCGAGCCACATCCTTGGCTTTTGCATTCTCTTCGCGCCTGCCTGTTGCATTTTCGTTGTAAGTTAGCGTAGAGCCACGATTTCGCCCGGCAATTCGAATTCTTTATATTTGCTTGTTCCTGGTTTCGGAATTGACCTCAATGTAGTCTGGAACGTTGTTCGATGGCTGAACTCTTCCTGGTTAGCGTGGGGTGATAATGTCATAGATTGAGTTTGTGGACTGGCTATTGTCACCTTGCATGTTTGACTGAACAATCTCCGTAACTCAACTGCTTGCATTTGATCAATATCGATATGTTACTTCAAAGGAGTTTGATAGTCTGCGGTGCACTAATGAGACATAGTTTGATCTTGGTGTCTGATAGTGTATAATGGTGCAATAATAGTCGTGCTAATAGAAAAGTCTTAGTGACGTTGACTTCTTCCTATCCCTGTCGAGGGGTGCTTAAGAACACCCCTCTCCCAAGATCTGTTGGAAAAACTGCAACCAAATTTTCAACAATACATCTCATACCTCTCATTTAACTCTTCTCAACATGTCAGACCTCAAAGCAACCGTTTCAGAGACCACAACCAAGTCCGGCCATGCCGGGTTCCACGTTGAAGGTTATGAGAAGATTGAATATGACTTCACTTTCATTGATGGTGTCTTTAATATCGACAATCCAAATCTTGCCGAGTGCTATACCCATTGGGGAAGATGCTTAGCAGTCACTGACATGAACATTTACAATGTTTACGGAAAGCAGATGGAGAAGTACTTTCAGCACTACAACATCAAGTTGGTATTCCACAAGACGAAGATCGGAGAGAAGGCAAAGACCATTCCTACCTTTTTGAGTATTGTGGATTCCATGACCGAATTTGGAATCTATCGCAAAGTTTGTACTCTGACCATTGTTTGATAAGTCGTCATGTGTCGTTCTAACATAATTGTAGGAGCCAGTTCTTGTTGTCGGAGGAGGTCTTGTCACTGATGTTGCCGGGTGAGTTATATAATCACAATCATCTTCAAGTCATGTGAATAAAGTCTGACAATTATTTTTTCATAGATTTGCTTGCGCAGCATACAGACGAAACACCAACTTTATTCGTGTTCCAACTACCGTCATTGGATTGATTGACGCATCAGTGTCAATCAAGGTTGCAGTCAACTATGGCAACTACAAGAACAGACTAGGCGCTTATCATGCTCCCATTCATACATTCCTTGACTTTACATTTTTACGAACACTTCCAACTGCGCAAATACGTAATGGTTTTGCCGAATTGATCAAGATTTCATCCTGCTCTCACCTCCCTACTTTCGATCTATTAGACAAATACTGTGAACAGCTCATTGAAAATTCTTTTGGTCGAGCTGATGGCTCTTCCAAGGAATTGATCGATGCCGCAGACACGATCAACAGAGGGGGTATCCACGAAATGTTGAAGTTGGAAACACCAAACCTTCATGAGATTGGTTTGGATCGTGTTATTGCCTATGGGCACACGTAAGTAGTCCACCGCTGTATATTTCGAATTGTTTCAAAGTCTAACATCATTAGATGGTCACCTCTCCACGAGCTTGTTCCGGAAACACCCCTTCGACACGGCCACGCGATATCCATTGATATGGCCTACTCGGCAACTCTTGCCAATCAGCGAAAGCTCTTGAGTGATGAGGAGCATCGCCGCATCTTGAACTTGTTCTCTCGTGCAGGTCTTTCAATGGATCATCATCAATTCGATGAAGAGATCCTCGAAAAGGCTACTGCTGCTATCCTCAAGACACGAGATGGCAAACTCAGAGCCGCTGTTCCAAATCCTCTTGGGTCGTGCACCTTCTTGAATGACGTTTCTGCCGAGGAGATGAACCAAGCTTTACATCGCCACAAGGAGCTTATGAAGGAGTATCCTAGAAATGGAGAAGGGCTCGAGGCATTTGTTGACGCATCTGACACCGGTTACACCGAGAACGCGAAGATGGAAGAAGAAAGAATCATTGAAATGGCAGCGAAAAAGGCTGGCCAGATGAATGGAACCAATGGCCATGCAAATGGAACTAATGGTCATACCAACGGAACCAATGGGCACGCAAATGGAACTAATGGACATGCCAATGGAACCAATGGTCATGCTCCTCACAAAAATGGCAAGGCGAATGGTCTAATTAATGGGCATAGTAACGGGGCATTGTCAAATGGTACGACAGGTAGTTACTGATGCATGGGTGGATCATAAAAGTGAAGATTAACGTTTGAGATTACAATGTTGTTGGACTACGGACACGACTTGCATGGCTTTTTAAAGCAATGGTATTTTTTTTTTCGGAACATAAATATAATGCTTCCAATCCAATGAGTTATCATGTGTTTGATTACAAAATGTGATGAAATTTATACTTCAGTTTAGTATTTTATAGCACTGTAATCTGTGCGCGTTGGGTGCTTTATTAGTGCTCTCAAAGTATAGTTCGCTGGAGTGATTGGGTACTAAGTGCGTTAAGGTTGGTTGTGAGGTTGGTTGAGGCTCCTTGTGATGTCCGTGGTTCAATAGTGTGTGTCCGAGAGTCAATTTGTCAGATGGACCAGACAATCTTAGTGCGTCTCAATTAATTGCGATGTGCAACAAAAGTTTAAGCTTCATCACGCTTTCTTATGTAACGGATTTGGTTAGGTTAAGAAAAATGTCTTGAGGTGTCGTGAAGCTGGCTCGAGGTTGGATGTGTGCATGAGTTGATCTTCGATTTCACTAGAAAAATTGTTGTTATTGTTGTTATTATTATCGTTATCATGACTGTGGTATTATTAAACGCTTGGGTTAATAAATTGCTTTGTCATTTGTATCGATTGGGATTTTTTGAATTGCTCGCTGGCCAGCGCGAGGGGATCTTTGGGTAGGTAGTGAGATATTTTTCTGATATACAGGTATGGTGAAAGCCCAGCAAGCATTTTGGAATAGACTACTGATCACTTCCTATCAAACCAGATTTTGTAGAATATTTTATCGTATTAAAGGCTATTTTCAGCAAACCCATCTGTCTTCTTGAAATAAAAGTAAGTCATCCCAGAAAATATTCTAGACTGCTAAAGTGAAGTTACCTGGCGCCGAACGCGAATCCCCAAGTGCCGCGAAAATTCATCAATGCTCTAAGTAATATACTTCCTTACTCATAGCGATGATTTCCTTCATCTTCTTATCAAATGGCTTTCTTTTCTGTGTTTTATCGAATATCGTTCTTCTCGCATTCAACGATGTCGTCGGATCATCTACGGTAGAAGTAGATACGTTTTTTCCAGAACAGCGTTTGGGTTTAGACTCGGTACTGGCGTCGCTTGTTTCGGAGATTAGAGTCGATTGCTTTCGCTTCTTTGAGATAGTGTTCTTGCTGGAAGTTTCGGTGTCGTGGGTTGTGCTGCTAGATGTCATTGCATACTTTCCGTGTTTAGTAACAGTTTGGGTAGTAGAAGAACTCGGTTGTGGATGTTTATTTATCTGTTGATAGCTTGGAAAAGCTGATAAAGCTGTTGGTTAGCATTAAAACTGACGAAAGACCATGAGCAAGGCTTACATTGTCCGGCTCCTGCCGCGGAGTTCGCATCCACTGAGCTTGATCGCCCTTGATTACTTCCATTTGCCTTGGAATTCTCATCCCCGACCTGGAGCTGCCCCAAGGATCTCCATTGGCTTGATTATACGAGGTGTTGTTTCCCTTCTTCGGGTACCAGCAAGCGTACAACTCGTCGATCTGAGCGACGAACAGTTCTACACCTTGTCTCCTCACTTTGTATTCGTTTATCATGATCTTCATCTTTGCCGCAATGATCCCCAGCCATTTATTTTCCGTAATCCTGCTCTCTCTTCTGACTCTCTGGGTCATAAAGATATCAGGGTCAAAGTAATTCTCGAGCTCGTTTATAATCAATGGCTCCCTTGGATATCCTCCGCTTTCTGCTGACCTTACTTCTTCCATTATCTCTTCCCATTTGTCTCTTGATGAACTCAACGAGGAACTGCAGGCATCTCTGAGCGTCTGTAAGGTAATTCGATAACTCTCACGACGGAATCGAATGGATGCGGTTGAATGTAATTTACTGAGAGATTACAATCTCCATAGTTTGATGTCCTTATTCAGCGTAACAAGTGTGTGTACAAGAAGAACCCTACCACGGGTGATGACCTGGACATATCTTTGGGGTGCCATGCTCTCGAGGTTCTCGATGAAGTCAGTGAATCGGGCGGAGCGTCTTGATTCATCGTCCTCTTCGCTGAACCATGGATTCTCCATGTCGAGCGGCACCATTATCTCCAGCATGGTACTACGAACTCCTCCCACCATTTGGCAAGCTCGTAATTCTTCTGCCAGGGTCCATCGAACGTATTCGTCTACCTGATTGACCAAGCTGATCACTTTTGATTCTCTCTCAGCAGTTTCGACTATGTAAGGGTCGGGCTCGACATTTGATCTTTCAGTCATCTTGGCTATTCAAGTTAGCTCATCAACAAATTTCAATGTTGGTGGATACAAGTACTCTGGCTGTAAGTTTTCGAGCTTATTCAAAGGGTGAAGCGATTGATTGTGCTAAAACTTCTTAATTGGAAGTCTTCCCCCTTAATTCGAGAAGCAAGAAGTAAAGGTGATCGTTGCCGTCGGCTTTAATGAAAAGAGGTATTGTCTTTTGGTGGGAGGTTTCAAAGATTCAAGAGACGACACAAATAGTTTGAAAATCGCTCAGGTGGACTAGCCCGCAGGTTTGAAGATTGAGAGATTAGTTGGTTTCGAGTACCGGATTGACACATTACGAGACGAGACGAGGCCAGCAAGCTACCAAGTAAGCGTGTTCACTTTTTTATGTAAATTACACGAGCTGTATGGCCGCGTAGTGAATCGTCGGATATCGCGCAATATTCAGCATTCCCAGAGGTGAACTTTGCAGCGATGAAGTACAGCGCCAACATTGTCGAGGTAATCAAGGATTGGAGAGCTTACAAGCTAAGTGTTGATCCCGAATAAGAGAAGGTGACTCAATTCACCGATGCTTTTGACTCGGTCGGATCTGATGGTGTCTTGAAATCGCTCAGTGCCGGTAGTGGGTCGGAGACTGCATTCTCTTCTGTAGACGACTACATGGAGAGCTCGTTGAAGCTAGCTACATAGAACGAGGGAGAGTCCACTCCTGAGGGAGAAAACTAGTTATTTCTCTTGAGGAAATTCTTTCGAATACTTCCAATGTGATCTGATAATGGCCTGCGCTGAGGTTCAATGAGGGGATTAGTAAACGCCATGGAGTTTGATAGGAGACTAGTGATGAGATCTAGTGAAGGATCAGACTCAGTAGCTTTAGATTGACAAGAGATGCATCTAACTGAATATCATACTCATGATTGAACAGCAAGGCTGGTAAGTATGTTGTAGATAAGTTGAAACTCCACAGCGAATTTAACAGCATTGATGGGATTAAACATGGTTGATCGAGATAGTGCCTCTTCCGAAGTATAAGGAGAAATCTTTTGAAAAACAATAAGAGTGCTTTTGGGGGGAGATAGGTATAAATCCCACTTTTCACTCGAAAATTCTTGACACTTTTTTGATTGATTTTTTCCTAATCAGCAATTCCAAAAATCCCAAAAATTGAAGAAATCCGCCCTTTTGCCCTTTGGAAGAGGCCTGCGTTGTGTGGCAGCACGACGCACCCTGTATCGATATAGTATGCAACAGTCAGATGAATGGCATCGATCATTAGAAAATTCCACAGTAGACGAATTCGCCAATACGATAGATACTTGCTCTTTTCAATTCGAGATTCTTATTCTACTTGACCCAGAAAATGATGCCTGTCGCATAGCGGATAAAGAGAAACAGCAATCAATAAAATACAATGACTTCGCAGAGTACCACCTTTCTTCGGGCCTTCTTACAATGAGAGAAATAGAAAATTGAACAATACTTTCTATTGTTGATCAATTGATACATGCATGTTGGTGGGGCGCGAGGGTGCATTCTAAAAAAAATCTCGAGTTACCAATTTGTAATATATACTCAGATACGTAAACTGCCATACAACTAAAACGGCCGGATGGTGTAGTTGGTTATCACGTGTCCTTAACACTTCAAACCTGTTATACACGGACAAGGTCCTGGGATCGTGCCCCAGTCTGGTCATTGAAGATTATATTTTTGCAATTTTTGAAGCTGCTATGTTGGAGGCTGTGTCAAGTATGAAGAGGTGTGTTGATCTTTTTTTCTTTTTCCTTCTTAGCGATGTTTAAAAGGTTAGATAGTGTTTTCGGAAAACCGAGATGACATAAGCGTGGCTAAGTACAAGTACAGTATGGTTCATGGAGGGGCAAATCTGAGGGAAGGGCAAGTGAGATCCCGCTGCAAAGGAGAATCATTGGGGGTTTGCTGGAGAGCATGGAGCATAGAGCATGAAGCATAGAGCATGAAGCATGGGTTTTGAATCGTTTGCGGCAATGTCAGTATCAATAACGCTAAGTCTCATCAAAACGTCCGTGCGCTGTCTATGTGTATGTAATAACCTTAAACTCGAGCTATCTTAGAGTTCAGACAATGTCAAATCAATACGAACTTCATTCATAGTCATCATTTCCTTCTTTTGAACACTTCTTCCATTGATCTTTTGTACTGTTGAATCGCAATTCTATAACCATCTGTATATTGTTATGTGGAGATTCAACTGAAGTTCTTGCCTTCCTTACCTTCGCCCTTCCACAATCTAATCTAATTGTTCGCATGGCTATTCTCTCTTAATAAGTGTGGGAAGCGCACATAACAATGCCTCTCCCACCAAGGCTTTTCCATGGTGACGTGGAATTGGGGAAACGAGATGATGATCATAGGCCTGGCTCGAAAACGCCATTAGGAATGGCATGGCAACATCGAAGGCCACATGTTCAACGGCGATCAATGAAGAAGATTATAATAGGTCTGCTGGTCGGAATTGGTCTCTATTACTTCTACAAGAATATGCCGACAGATCTTCAGAATCCGCGACAAAGACCACATTATACACAGAACGGAGGAATTCCTGCGCAAGCTGGTTCGAGAGCTCCATCTCCGCAGCTGAGTTCGAATCAAGCTTCGAAAGCAGATGACGATGAATCGATCGAGATAGGGCACAATTTTAATGGCCCCATTAAATTCTATCAACTGGCGACGACTTTACATGCGATGTCTAAGGTCAAAGGCTCTGATCCTGTCAACAATAATGTGGTATGTTCTTAGTTTGGCAAATTAGCATGGAATTTCACGGCTAATAAAGTGCTTAGTTATTTGCGGCCTCGAGCTTAAAAAGCGCTTCGACTTTGTTACCCATTGCATGCGAGATGGCATTAAGGGAAAGAAATTATGTACACTTTGCATTTATGGGAAGAGATGATATACCGATGGATATATTAAAATCTGTGAATGGGGTCAATAAGGATTGCCAGATCTTCTTTCATGGTACGAACTCCCCCTGAATTTTTGCTAGATATTCTAACACCATTAGACGCACGACCAGATTATTCCTTGCAAAGCTCAGATTTTCGAATGGAAGTCAGTTGTTCTGCAGGTTTCAATCATATCAATGCATTCGTTCATCCTCAAGCTGTTCTCATTGACGCATCTGGAGATGAGGATAATTTCTTAATCTCTGCCTTTAGGACCAGGGCCAATGCATTAGACAGAACCTTGATTGAACTTCCTAAAAACATCGAACAAAATCTAATGTGGATTGTTCAATTAGATAGTGCCGCTTTGAGTGGTAAGTACATCTCTGAAGAAGGAAACTGTTGCCGTTTAGCTAACAATTATAGCCTGGACCAAAATCAGTATTGATATTGTTGTTCACGCGCAACCACAAAAATCCGGGTCTTTGATCAGGTTACTCACATCACTTAAGAAAGCCGATTATTTTTCCAGCAACATACCGCGATTGACGATAGAATTGCCGCATGACGTCGATGAACCTACCAAACAATATCTTTCGAGATTCAAGTGGCCACCAAAGCGTAATCAGGATGAGACAAGTCTCCTGACACTTCACCATCGAATCCCACAACACGGACTCACTCCCGAGGAAAATTCAATCAAATTCATGGAATCGTTTTGGCCTACGGATCCTATGTCCGCTCATGTTCTCGTTCTTTCTCCCCAAGCCGAACTTTCTCCACTGTTCTTTCATTACCTCAAATTTGCACTATTAGAGTATAGGTACTCTTACAATAGAGCAATCGGTCAAAAAAACATGCTTGGGATAAGTCTTGATCTACCATCAACTTATCTCAATGATTCAACGTCGTTTATACCGCCTTCAAGTACAAACCCTAGTCCATTTCTATGGCAAGCACCAAACAGCAATGCCGCTCTTTATTTTGGAGATAAGTGGGTGGAACTTCATGATTTCATAGCTAGATCGATGTTTTCCGAACATTCCTTACCCCCACCAGCCACTTTGGGAGAAAAACACGTCAGCAAAACCTACCCATCGTGGTTAGAATATGTTCTTAGATTAGCAAGGGCTCGTGGCTATTGGACTCTTTATCCTCATTTCGAAAGCTGGGATGCTTTATCTACCATTCATACAGAACTATACACAGCTCCAGAAGAATACATGAACGAACCAGATGAAGCAACAGATTTTACGGCAAATCCAACAGAACATCTATCATTAAAACACAAAGAGGAGCCATTAATTTCAGCATCTTTGCAAACTCTTCTATCGGATTTACCTGTCGAAATAGCTGAAATGCAATTGATTGGTTGGGACGGCGAGAATATTAACAGCGAAGAGATACAATTAAAAGCCAAGGATTATAGTCGGACTTTCAGACACGAAATTGGAGGTTGTGCCAATGGAGTGGCAGAGAAAGAAAGAAGTTACATGCTTGCAGGAGATTTATTTTGTTCGGGAAATGAGCCACTGCAGTCATTGGAACAAGCATTGGAACCACCAGCGCCCTCAGTACCAAAAGCAACTGCAGTCTTGGAGTCAAAGGACACTAATACCAAACCAGCCACAAATCATGATGGTATAGTTGCTGTTGAAGATAAGTCTCCTGGTTGAGTAAAGCAAGAGTATGTTTTATGGCATTTCCGTGATGGAAATATCCTGCTATGGACAGAACTATGTTCACGACTTCAAGTGGGACAAATCGATCTAGAATAGTAGACTATCTGATCTCTGCGGAGATTAGCCTGGCCTTTCAAGTACACATCTTGATTGTTATTGGTTTTTGCTCGTACGGAGGCTTGTCCAGAATGCCAAGCACAAAGAACACTCCCCACGATTCTTGAAGCTACTCAGGCACCAAGTTCGGTTTATTCCTTAACCCTTTCATTTCTGATCCGAGTCTTTTGGCCCTCTTGAAAGAAGGATGGTCCGAACTATAACGAGGGGTAGATCTCTTTAACAAAGAAACGATGTTACATCTTCGACTTAATTGGTAGTGACCTCGTGGTATTCTTGCTTCTTTGTTCAATTTGACGCGAAGAAATCTAATTTTAATCTCGAGACAACGCCAGTTCATCATAAATCTTCGTGAAAGCCTCTTAGTCTTACTTTCCTGTTACCCCTCTGTTAGTGAGTATGTCAGGTAGCCTGGGACTTTTTTATATTCTTTCGGTAAGTCAACTCGCTACGATTCTGGGCGGAATCACTAGTGCTTTTTCTTTATTGGAGATTGCTATATACTTGTTGCACCAATTGTTCAGACAGCGTCAGTGTATTCTCCCTCAGCAGCATCATTCATTTGACTTGTTTGGAAATTGAATTTATATATTGTCACTCACTTCTTGTAACGAGCAATATTATTCCAAAGCGTATCAGAAAGCAAGTAAAATTCTGTTAGCAGACTTATTATATGCAATGGAAGAAAATCATGAAACCACATCACCATGCCGTGGTAAATCTGTTGGTAGATCCCTAAGTCTAGTAACAGATCTTGCGCCGTCCTCTCAACAACCTTGTCTCCTTCAGCATTCTCAGAATCCTCAAAATCTCAACTCTGCATATCCAATCTCAGCCCCGCCTTTAGTACATCATAACCAGATCAATCCACTATCCGCTCTCCCTTTGACCCAACATCATCCCTTTGCAATCCCTCAACCACAACCACAACCATGCCAGACCCAACTCTTCAACCCAGAACACCATTATCTTCTTCTATCCCTTTCTCGGGAAAACTTCAAAGCCCTTTCCCTACGACAAAAAATCGCAGCGGCAGAAAATAATCTCGCTTCCATACACCTAGCTACGGAGTTAGAGGGTGTGGGGATAGGTATCACATCTCCCCTCTCCTCTATCTCTACGCCCGCCACACCGCACTCGCAGGCGCAGGCGCCCACTCGTCGCAAACTGAAGAAACAAATCTCGTGGCTGAGATGTCGGATTAAGGAGTGTACGAGACAGGAGACAATTTTGATGCAGAGGTTGCAGCAGATTGGGGAGGAGGAGAGGAGATGGAGATGGATGCAAATCGAGCGGCAGAGAAGGATTAATGAGGAGATGATGGAGTGGCAGAGGGGATATTGGAATTGTTTTGTTGGAGCTGGTGGTGCTGTTGGTCAGGCTGGCTATGGATATAGTGGGAGTGGATATGGATATGGATATGGATATGGATTTGGACATGGTAACGCTCATGAAGGCATGTTGAATGCTAGCACTCCTGCGTTTCAACCCGGTGGTAGCGTCAGTGTTAGCGGTGCTTTTCCTGTCGATACGAGGGCGAGTGTGGGGGGAAGAAAATATTCAAATGAGTTTTGGAATACGGATGCGCCTGTCTTCTCACCAGTTAATTTCTTTAAACCTTCTTCTTCTACTTCTGTTTCTGTTTCTACGTCTACGGTTCCTTCTGGTATCTCGCAGCATGTGCAAAATGGAGAGGTGGAGAGACTCAGTAGGGGGTGGGATGAATGTGAATTATCGCCCTTGGCTGAGGAGAGAAGAAAATCTTCTTTGAAATGGAGCGTGGAGATTAGAGGTGGGGATAAGGAAGGGAATGAGATAGGGATGGGAGAAGAAGGGGAGGGTTCTGGCTCTGGGTCTGGAGAGGGTGAAGCGGGAGATTCCTCGACTGAAACGGCGATTACGACGCCGAGTCCGCAACAGAGCGCGAGGATGTCGCCGATGGGAGGCGCGAAGAGTTTTAATGATGTGATGTTGGGGTTTTTTGATGGGGTAGATGGGGAGGGGAAGAGAGGGTTGTGTGGGAAAGAGGGAGTGGGGAGAGAGAAGAAAAGTAAAAGTTTGCCGGGTGTGCAGAGGCAGCGGTGGGAGGGGGTTTGTGGGGGGAAGGGGGAGGGGGAGGGGAAGTTTCATGGAAAGGAAGTTCTGAAAGAGAGGAATGAGATTGATCAGGTTTAGTAAGGGGGTTTTATAGGAATTCTGATGTTGACATTGATTTTTTTGGAGTTGGATATATGATGACGTATGGATGTTATAAATGACCCTGGAGGATGGTGTGTAGGAATAGATGCATAGGGATAGAGGGAATTGAATTGTATAGGAGGATGATGATGATGATAAGAAGGGGATCGGGATGAAAAGTTCTACATGTTGAAAGGTTTGGGGATTACTATCCCCTAAGGTACCAACAAATGGCGCCAATTGTAGCCTGTGCATTGAGGAAGAATATCAATAACTTTGTGAATAATATTGATAATACAAAAATCAATAAATATATTATATATAATAATTTCATTAATATACTTCCAGATAATGTACAATTTGATTTTATTAATATAAAAATATTACACTCAGATATCCCTTTTATTTCAAAAGTAGAGATTTGTTTTAAATCTATAGATTATATAAATTTCGATTGAGAATTTATTCTACAAATCAATATTCGAGATTGTAATATACTCATTTTATTTTATTTCTATTTTTTTATTAAAATAATAAAATCAATTATAAAATAAACAAATTTATATATACAAATATCAGAAAATAAAAAACTTTTAAATTTATAAACATTTTTGTAGTATTTTATAATAATAAACAAAAATTATTTATATTTAGATATATATATATATATCTATTTATTTTAAATATAAGATTAAAATTTATTAAAAATATAATAAAAATATTATTATATATTCTTTTATATATTTTATATTAAGGAATAGATTCTAAGAGTTTTATATATAATATTATATTATATCTTTTGGAATAAAAAATATTTATAAAAGAGTAAAATATCAACTTTCCTATTTAAAATTAATATATTAATATAATTCTCTATAAGTAAATCCTTTATTAGATTATATTCAAAAGATTAATCTTTTAATTTAATAATCTCAAAGTCGAATTATAATAAATAAATATATTATATACTATACCAATCAATTGATATATATCACAATTATTAAAAATAAATTTATATCTATTAACTTTAAGATATAGATTATTATAAATCGAGGGTTTTTTATAGTATAAAATTAATATAAATTAAAAAAAAAGAATAATTTTATAGAAATTTCAATTCCTTTTCTTTTAGAATTAATAAATAAAAAGAAATCTTTGAATAAAATATAAGTAGTAATTATACATTTAATACAAAAACTATTTAAAGCTTTATATTATATCTATCTTAATAATTTATTTGTTTTTTATAATTTATTAGAATATATATATTATCTAGAATACACTACAATAGGAATATATAAAATGAATTCAGGAATTTATTGAGATCTAATTAATTTAAAAATTCGAAATATAAAAAAGAATAATATATTATAAAGAATAATATTTTCTAGGGTTTCTTTTTCAAATAATATATATCAAATAATATAAAAAAATAGTACATTAATTTTAATATAATCTATAATATATAATAACAAAGATTTTATTCGAAAACTATGTAAACAATTATAATCTATCTTTTCAAAAGCTAAAACAGTTAGAATACTATTTGGAAATAAATAGAAAAAGATACTACCTATTCTAGAGTTTTATAATAATTATAATTTCAATATGAATTCTATTAATATAAGGGATTAATTATATTCGTTAATATCAGAATATTAATATTAATATTGTAGAGATTACTAAGCAATAGAATAATAGCTATTAGTTATTATTTTAATCAATTATTATTTGATTTATAAGGAAATTACTTTAAAATATAATATAATAAAATCTCTTAAGTATAATGATTTTCGAAAATTAATCTCTCAAAGATTGATTACTGAATTTAAACCTAAATATCAATATAGAAATTTAAAATATAATTTAAAGATTCTAATTAAAGATTTTAATTTATTAAAAGATTATTATTTAATAAATTTGGAAAAGAAAAGAGATTATTATATATATAAAAATTAGTTTTTTAATACAAAAAGGATTATATTAAAAAAGATATTTAATAATTTTAGATTAAAAGATAATAAATATAAAAATAAATAAGGATATTAAGAATATAATATTTATTTATATAATAATAATAAGTGTTTTAATAGTTATTATAAAATAAGATTTTAAAATATCGAGATTTTGAGAAATCTTAATATTCTGATTGATTAGTATTGACTAATTAAGCGATGGCGTTATTTGTTGGCACCTTAGGGGATACTATCGGATAACATATGTGTATTCTTTGCTTCGGAGATCTTTTGTAACATTATGTACATACCTAGTAGGTACTTTATGCGGATTGTACTCGTAAGATCTTACATAGAATTGATATTTTACATGACGGAGTTTGGATTGCAGATTTTATTACTTGCAAGTTATATGGAGGGATCGGGATAGTAGGTATATATACACGTGCTATGAATATCAGCTCACTACTTTAATTTGTATGGACAATAATGATTCTTGAGGTGTTGATTGATTGATATCTAATTAAATGACAATAACTTCAGTTTCATTGTAGATGTAGATCCTTTGAACTCCGTTCCATTCTTTATGCGCCTTAGATATTGTCCCATTATGAGTATTGAAATATCTTGCTGGGTGAATGTGTTTGTTTCAAATTTCTTGGAATCTTTTGTGAAGACTGTAGGTTCGGGTCCGAAGAAAAGTCCTCTTGTACACCCGATTATCAACTCCAGTTCACATCCTGCAGACGACAGTCAGTACCAGGCTTTGAAGATTTCTATCGCTCTCGATTGGCGAGAGATTAAATTTTCAATAATCCTTGGCCAAATTCCTCTAGTCTTTCCCCTCTCGTATCCTTGGGCATCTCGCTTGAATCTCCATATCCATCTTTCTAGCTTGTTCATCATCGTCCATCAACAGTCCTCTATTGAAACTCTCCAAACTCTCCATCATCGAACCCTAATTCCTCAGCAGATGGTTCAGGTATTGAAGGTGCCTCCATATTATTCTGGCTTAATCTCTTCTGAGCCTTAATCGCCTGTGCACTTGGAGGTGGTGGTAAAAATGCGCCCATGCCTCCTCCACCCGGCGGAGGAGGTAAAGAAAACCCACCCAGCCCTCTCTCAGATTCTTCACTCTTTTTAGGTGCCCTCCTACCCGCACCTCTCCCTCCAATAGTAACCGTGATCGTCTCCCCCTCCTTCAAACTAAAATCCCTCTTCACCTCCGATTTCTCTTCTCCTTTCTTCATTCCCGCAGATGGAGGTTTTCCTCCTCCTTGTTCCTCAATCCCCAACGTCTTTCTCACTTCTTGTAATGCCACACTAAAATCAAATGCTTCCGACCTCTCTTCAAACCCTATTCCCAGAACCGCTTTCATTCCTCCTTCTCCTTGTACTCTGACTGCGAAAAATCGTGAACTATCCAGTACTTGCTCTACCACACCCGTTACTGTGTATGGAGCTGCGGCGAATAGCTGCCCGTTACTTGGATCTTCGAGCAAGATATCTGCTTTGACTTTCTCCTCGCCATTTTTATCCGGGATAGCTGTTTCGAGAATACGAACTCGCGCAGTGAAGATTTGTCGTTTGTTGTTGTCCGCAGTCCAGGTAGCAGCTACGTAGCCTTTATTCGAGGTAAGAGGTGGAATGTTATAGACGTGGACTGAAGGTGCGATGAAGAGGATTCGTTGGAGTGCATCGGGTGGTAAAGGTCTACCTGTGGAGGGGTCGATAGTCTCCATGATTTTGACGGAAGTTGTTTAATCTCTAGGCTGGGGGATCTCTTTCTATATCATTATCAGGAAAACAAATCAGTTTGAGATCAACCCCTTTCTTTGAGGTTCCTGATGTTTGTCTTTATGATTGATAAGAAAGAGCTGAAAGTTCTACATAGTATGTATGTATCTAGTACTCCATTAGAGGAGATGCTAGGTGTTCGGCCTTCTTTCCCCACAGTGTATCGTTGTATGGTAAGGCTGCACGTGAAATGATCTCTGATTGGCTGATAAAATCCTTGCCCTCTCTAATTATGAATTCATTGTTTCGATAATGCTTAGAGTCATCAATTGCATTTACAAACAATTTCATGTCTCTATTGATATTCCATAGAACGAGTATTTTTTGAGGAATCTTTACAAACCGACGTGAAATCTTGCAGAAATTCAAAGGATAAACATACACCGAAAATGGATCCAGAACCAGGTATGCCAAATCTATAAATTGTCAATGCGATTTTGATCAACCATTGCTCTAGCTAGCTCTTGCGCCGTCGAAAATCCATTTTGTGGTGCGTCACAGCCTTGCTCTTGCTAACAAAATTTCCCCTCCTCATTAGCAACACCTCTTTTCGAAGAAAGCTTCCGTAGTACAACTCCGCCGGCACTTTCTGGATATCCTCCTGCTTTAAAGAAAATGGCTTCCATAGGAAATATTCCTCAAAAGAAGGATTCAAAACAATTCGAGTACATCTCTCTGTGTATAATCCTCAAAAGAGCCCCTCACTGACTCATAACCCCTCTATCAGTATAGTAGAAACCTACCATCGACTCCTCAACGATGATCCCGATGTTACTATGCCAGTCGCTGCAATCGAAGCGCTCATTGAACTTCTGGCCTGCTCTCGCGCAGTCACCGTTTACGAAACTCTCGATTTAGTTAAAACCCAGTCCGATTATTTGAAATCTCGCATTCCTAATTCCATATCATTATCTGCCGGAACGGATTTATTTCAAAGATATATGATACAATCTCTAAAACCTTCAAGTACCGGAAACTTCGAGACCGTGCGACAGCATCTTTTGAGCAATGGAAGATTGTTTGTTACAAGAGCAAAGCAGGCTAGATATAGTATTGCTACTTATGGACGAAACTTTGTTAGAGATGGAAGTGTGGTTTTGACTCATGGAGGAAGTAGAGTTGTGGGAGCTCTTTTAGATAAAGCTGCGGAATCGAGAGCTACTGGTGGAAATGTTAGATTCAACGTCATTTATGTTATGAATGATGCTAGGAGCGCAGAGAGTAAAGCCGTGGTTACATCATTAAGGGCTAAAGGTGTACCAGTTGCTACAATATCAGAAGGTGCTGTAGGATACGCTATGGGAAAAGTCGATTTAGTTATCGTTGGCGCAGAAGGTGTGGTAGAAAATGGAGGGGTCATTTCGAGATTGGGAACATATCAAATCGCATTATTGGCGAAAGCTGCTGGAAAACCATTCTATGTCGCTGCGGAAAGTCACAAGTTTGTGCGATTATATCCTTTGGGACAGTATGATCTTGGTATTGATCAAGAGATTATTGATTTCCGTACTGAGGATGATGAAGGAGATAAAACTCCGAAGATTGAGGAGAAATTGGAATATTTTGAAACAGGCAAGATTGATATATCTAAACCAGATGCTGTTGATGCGGTGGACTTTACAGTAAGTGTTTTCTACCCGGATTTGATATAATACTAACTATTTTGTAGCCTCCAGCTCTTATATCCGCGCTTATCACCGAATCGGGGGCTCTGACTCCAAGTGCTGTTAGTGAGGAACTCATCAGTCTATGGTATTGAGTGAAGTAAAATGGTGATTCGGTACGGAATAGAGGAACTATGCAATCTAGCAAGCTCATTTCCCACAACCTACAATTTCATGGCGTCAGGAGTACAAAACGACTTTACCGAGACCGAACAATCGAAGAATGATCAATGAAGATAATACCCATGAAAGTCTTCTGAATTTGTTCAGATGATATCTGGAAATGTTGTACAATATAGTAGAGGGGTTGTACAAGAGTGGAGACTGAAAGCTGAAGAAATACCTAGCATTGAAAAGGATATGGACGAATCTTATCTGGAATGATGTCAAAGGTCTAGCTACATATATCCCTAAATGGGTAATTGAAGAGTCCAAATGGCAGAGAAAGAATCGATGAATATGGCTCAATAATGGTTCCTCATACGTCTGGAGATTTGAAGTGACGCAACGTAAATCATGTTTGGTAATCTGAAGTTCTTGATAATTGGTCTAACTAACGATGATCTTTGTTATCAAAATCTTAGCCATACAAACTAAAATATTCATAAATTTGAGAGCAGGATATGAAACAAGCAGAAGAAGGTCTGTAATGACGAACGCTGGTAGAGTCTTGGCCAAAGTTCCTAGGGTTGAAGGCCTCTTCATGATTCGTGCAGGTATACGATCATGTCGTTTGAGGATGAAGGATCACTTGATTTGATCCCCTTACTGGTAGCTAGGTTCTTGATTAAGTTATATAAGACAATAGTACCATTGCGGACCTAGATAAGTAGGTAAAGTTATAGAATAGCCCTGCAAATCAGCCTTGCAGCCCTATCTATCATAAACTATGTAGATAACATGAAACATCACGTCACATATCACGCATAATACATACATAAATACTACACTATAAGGTGTGTACTACCGACCCTCGACACCCCCTGATATAACCGAGCGCTTACTACCCGGATTGCGTAAATTCAAATCAATCAAATACCTAAATGCAGTAAGCACTATCTACCCCAAGGCCAGAAATATGTCCACACAGCCTCGATTCCACACTTTTACGCATGATTTATATAAATACCTCGATGCGTTATAACTTACCACAGACAGGTGCATTAAATACTGTGCCTCTCTCTTATCTTACTTCTGAAACCTTTTGGACAACTGTTGTAATGCAAGACAATGCAAGACAATGTTATACTAACAGTTTGGGTAGGAGTGTTATATTTTGCTGGATGGATGGATGGGTGGGTGGATGGATGGATGAGATGAGATGAGATGAGATGATTTGGAGAGGAAACGAATGGTGTGAGCAGAGCCACGAATTGGAGTGTATCAGATGGGGTTTGGGGGAGGCGCAGAGGGGTGAGGGATGGGAGGTAGATGGGAAGGGAGACGGTGAGATTTGGTATATGGTGTGGTTGTGAGTTGTTTTTTTCTTTTTTCTTGAAGGGAAAGTTTCTTTTTGGTTATTTTGGTTTATCTGAAAGACTTGGAAATTTTTGCCTGAAGATATTGTGTAAAATTCAAGGTTGAAATTTTGATTCTCTATTGTGCACAATATCATTTCAGAACAACAACTTATTGATCTCTCAATACGACATTGTATCTCAATCAACATGCCCACTCTCAAGAATATCCTTCCCATTCTCCTCCTCGCTTTTCCTATGGCCATGGCAAATGTCGGTAATGATTATCCCCAATCACCGTCGGATTCACAAGAACGAGATTTCAACTCCGGACAGAAGAATGCTGTTACCATTCACGTAATTATCAGCGTGATCATCCTCGTGGTTTTCGTCGTTATTATAGTAACCTTGACAACGATCGGTTCAAGGAGACGAAGACAAAGACAAAGACACACGCAATCCGCGGGAATGATATACAATAGACCGGGAGCGAATGCGGCGGCTCCACCTTATAGTGTTACGGATGATGTGAATTTGCCGGCCTATTCTTATGCGCCGGCAAACGGGGAAACAGTTGTCTCTCAGCAATCATCGGGGATCGCGCAGCCAGCACCAGCGCATGTTTCGAAGGATGTGGTTTGAGGAGTGAGTTGTGTATGCTTTATCTTTAGGAGAAGTTCATGTATAAATCGTTATGTATAGTCTGCCGCCTGGAGTTTGGGTCGTATGGTGGCTATAATGGGCCATTTCGGTGGGTTGAGAAAAGGATTAGATGATGACGGCGTTCATGGAATGTCTTGTTTATTGACCGAATGCTCGTTCAATATGATATTGATGACATCCAAATTACATCTTCAACGCCCGTCCCAACGCTCTAACTTTTGCGGAATCGTATGAGACAGTTGCATTGGGTCTGGCGAGCCATCGCATGCAAAGAAGGGTGACTTAAAATTGTTCCATCAGGAGACCCCGGGATAAAAGATCCCCCAAGTTGGTCTTTCATACGTGAGGTAAGAAATGTGGTTTAAATTTCTTATTTGCACGATCTGCTGCTCGATGCATAAATTGTTCACCATGTAACTCAAAGACCAGTTCTGTGACGGAATTTCCATCACTCTCTGACTCGATATCTTTCTTGTTCGCCTGAATTGGTACCGTGAATCTGAAAATGGTGTTTTCCTTTGGCAGAACCTTTAAATTATTATTCTTCGTGATAACCTCGAAAACTCCCTTCGAATCTTTGATCACAATCCCCTTCATACCAACTCTACTCACACATCTACTTCTCACAACCTCAAGTTCCGCTCCATGATAATCTGCACTGCATAATTTAGCAACCGCAGATCCAGTAACTGGCATACAATTTTCTCCTCCCAACACTTCCGAAATATATCCTAACCACATTTTATTTAATGGTTCGTAGATGTTGTATTTTTGGGCCAATTTTGGTACATCGTATAGACATAAAGCGCGTTTCTCTCGAGCAGATAGAGGGGCCGGCTTCAATTTCTTTTTTCGTAGAGCTAGTTTTCGCTGTCTTTCGAGACGACGACGTTGTTGTTCGTTATTTGGTTCTGTGGGTTTTAGATGTAATGGCCGTTGTTTGACTTTTTCGGTGAAGATCCGACTTGAAGTATCAGGTGAATGCGCCCGCGACAATAATTGAGTCGCTATACTGTTATCCTTCGATGCCATCTTTCCTGTTTCTGTTTCTGTTTTGTTCCATGTAGAAATAAATTTGTCGCAAAAGATTACAAGGTTGAGAAGAAGCCTAGAGCTACCAAAATTCACATGCTAAAACATAGTTCCACAGTAGAAATGAACGCTAAACTACTTTTGGTGACCCCAGATTTCGCTGCGATCCTCAAGGCAATGGATGGCGCGCTCCGGCGTGCCTCGCCGAGGCTAAAATATTTAATTGACAATGATCCATCACACCTAGCAGGTTTGCGATAACAATGCGTATGTTTGTTTTCGGCATTCAATAATACTGTGCGACAACGATAATATGATAACATCATCTTCCAATATCCATCAACATGGCAGACAACAAAACCTCATCTCCTCCAAGGACTTCGGCTCCTGATCTTGAAATCTTGGGTGATCAAGTAACATTGCATCCTAGTGGTTACATCGAGCCTCCGGAAAGACCTCACGATGGGGAGAAAGAAAGGAATTTGGTGGAGCATATGGCTAGGTTTAGGTCAAGTCCTTTGGAATTTCTGAGAGAAGTCTCCTTACATGTTTCAGGAGTAAGTGCCTTCACTAATGGGCATAAATCTCCATTGCCAATATCTAACGCTCTTACAGACAGGATGGCGTGCCTACGATCATTTCATCGGACAACCTATCTTTTATCCTGGATTCTCGGAAAATATGACAGCTGCGGTCATGTCTACACCTATTTTACAAACACGAATATCTGAATTGGCCGAGAAACGGACAGGAATTGAGGAGCAGGAAGGTCTATTGAATAAAGATGATCCATTATACCATTCGAAAAGATCACAGAGGAAGTCTGCCATTGAACAAAGTTTGCAAGAGCTTTCAGAAAAGTTAACGAGCGATATGATATGCAAAATGGAAAGTAGGCCATTCATCAGAGGAGCTTATTATCTATGTACTCAGCTCTTGACAAGGGCATATCATCAAGGCAAGTGAATACACATGGATCTCTGTTTCCATACTAATTAATATGCAGGTATTCATGTGTCCAGCGAGGAAGTCCTTAGATTACGAAACGTTGCCGAAAAGGCACAAAAAGACAAAACATCCATAATTTTCCTTCCATGTCATAGATCCCATGTAGACTATGTTTCTTTGCAACTGATTTGCTATCGATTGGGCATCGCATTACCAACAGTTGTAGCTGGTGATAATCTTAACTTCCCTGTCGTGGGGAGCTTTCTACAACATGCTGGTTAGTCTATATCCTCAAACGCTCTTGACATATAATAATTTTATAGGGGCCATGTGGATACGAAGAAGCTTCGGAGATGATGCTTTGTATACCACTCTTGTACAATCATACATAGATACCCTTCTACAAGGCGGTTATAATTTTGAATGTTTCATCGAGGGCGGCAGATCAAGAACTGGAAAGTTGTTGCCTCCCAAATTCGGTATCCTGAGTTTCATCCTGGACAGTATTCTTTCAGGTCGAGTCAAAGATACAATAATATGTCCTGTCAGCACTCAGTATGATAAAGTAATCGAAACCGAAGGTTATGTTGGCGAACTACTTGGTATTCCCAAGAAAAAGGAGAATTTGGCCGATTTCCTCTCGGCATCATCAGTTCTTTCTCTAAAATTGGGTCGTGTGGATGTTCGATTTCATGAACCTTGGAGTTTACGAGATTTTATTTTACAACAACAAGCTCGATCGCTGGGAATACCAAAGACTCTTGATTTTGAGAGCATCAATGTACCTAGTGTTCGGCAAAAGCTACTGAGAACTTTAGGTTACAAAGTTTTATCCGATATCAATGCAGTTTCGGTTGTCATGCCTACTGCGTTGGTTGGAACGGTTTTATTGACTCTGAGAGGCCGTGGTGTTGGAAAATCTGAGTTGATTCGTCGAGTCGAATGGATCAGCGAACGAGTTAGAAACAAAGGTGGGCGAGTAGCTCATTTTGCCGGTGCAACCACATCCACAGTTGTTGAGCGGGCTCTTGAGGTTCTTGGTAAAGATCTTGTAGGCAGGGTAGATGGGCTGGCAGAAGAAACATACTACGCTGTCGATCGATTCCAACTTTCTTTCTACCGAAACATGACAATCCATTTATTCATATCTGAAGCATTAGTTAGCGCTAGTATGTACATGAACGTAAAGCGTGGCGGAGGAAAAGTTCACCAGAACATCTCATATGAAGACCTTCGAAGTCAAGTCCAATTTCTCTCTCAACTATTTCGAGGTGAATTTATTTACCCGACCGAAGGATTGGTTGTTAATCTGGACAACACTCTACACGACCTGGAAGCTGACAATATTGTTGAACTTATTCGGGATCCGGAAGGAAAGATATTGACTGTCGGTCTATCTGATCATGAGCGTTCTGTTGGACGCGAAAATTACGATTTTTACTGTTTCTTGATATGGCCATTCGTTGAAGCATTTTGGCTTGGTGCTGTTTCTCTTATGGGTTTCACACCACCTCCAAGCAAACCAAATGATGTTTGGTTAGAAGTCAAGAAAGCTCATGACGGCGCTCAATTGGTAAGTCTCTTCATGTCGTGTGTCGTCTATGACTACTTGCTAATGATTTCAAGCTTGGCAAAACTCTTTATCATCAAGGTGATTTATCTTACTTCGAAGCCGTTAATAAAGAAACACTTAAAAATGCATATCAGCGATTTGAAGATGAAGGCATTGTAATAGTATCTAAGAGTCGAAATTCAAAGATCCCACCACGATCTCGACTTGCTCCTGAATGGACACCACAGAGAAATCCAGAGACTAGTATGATAATTGCAGAAGGAAAACTATGGGATTTTATTGAAAAGATTGCAAAGTCAAGGCGAGAAGGGAAGAATAGACGAGATGGAGCAACTGTATCAACAAGAGTCTTGAGACTTGCTGATGAATTGGGTCAGACATTATTTGCGGAAGGATCTGGGGATATAGGGATGTCGGAGGAGGACAAGGAGGAATTGCAGAGGAGAGAGAAGAGAAGGCAGGCGCTGAAGGCTAGAGCACACTTGTGATATATGTTTGGATGTATTGTACTTGATACCAAGGATTTAATTGAGATATTTAATTTGTTAACACGGTTCTGTCTTTTTATTCGCTAGCATTGATTGAAGTTTATTGACGTCTGCCACGTGGGCTTTGAAGGGCGTATTGTGAGGGCCAGTCATTGGCGAAGATGATGCGCTAGTAACTAGTTGTGAGGTTAGCTGGGCTAGGAAGCTGGATAGTCCGCAGTTTTCATCAAAAATGGAAGGTCGCAAACCTGCTCACAAATTGGTGTCATAGTACCTTTTTCTGTGAACATCTTGCCAGCTTCGAGGAACAGGTTGTACGCTCCACTCGGCAAGTGCTTGGTCATTAGCATATGACTGCCATCTCATTTATCTCGTCGTATGCTCTTCTGACTGTTATTGAAAATTTCATTGCACTCATGTTCTGCTGTCGATGCTTTTATTTGATGTTCAGTGCTTTGGAAAGACAAATCTGCAAGAGCAGTGTAACTCGAATTGATCGAGCTTTATTGCCAGATGTCAGAAATCCTTCGAATGATCAGGTCATGTTTTCAGTACCCATTGATGGCCAGAACTTGGGTGCACTCTTTTTTCTTATGTTCAGCCATACTTTTATAGCATTTGACGTGTTACCATATAATATGCACCACTTGAACACACTCTGCGTTACAACGACATTCACTTAATGTATGTCTGTTATCCTTTCCACTTTTGGTAGATCGAGCTCTTCATCTACTTACGCTCATACCTACTCACTCCATACAATTTCAACCTGGCACTATAGAAGAACTGTGAAACTTCCAGCTCTGTATTTCTGCATTTTATTATGAGACGATCATGGAGAAGTGCTTAATACAACTGATGAGGCTGGACTTCAAGGTCTCAATACTTGACAGCCAAATTCACTGCAATATTTCCAAGTCAGGTCGGGTAGCGAAAGGATAGCTATGAGAATTTGCACTAGGAATTCATGCCTGCGTTCAGTGATAATAATGTACCAAAATACGACAATCGACGGCACTGTTATTATGCCCGTTGTTGTTTTTCACATTGTCTTCGACATTTTATGAGCTTGTCGCTTTTCTACATATGATTCAAAACATCATTTGCTTCTTTCAGCTCACACTTCTGACACAATCTTCAAATAAATAACACACAATGAAATAGAGTCTGCGCTCATGACATGTAGACCATATAAGTCTTGTCTTCAAACTCGATCATTACATCTATTTAAGTATTCTCTATATTCACATCCTTTCATCCATTCATCCATATTCCGCTCGAGACAGCATCTTGGAAACGATATAAGAAGCGACAAATTTCCCTTCCTGGTAGTATCAAAAGAGTGATATTATGATAATCGATGCGGGGACTTCTGATTGTCTCGTATGTAGGTCCATAGAAGTTTTCGAAATTACTTCTATTGAGTTGCGGCAATACCGACAGGTGCGTTGTATTGTCAATCTCGAGGCAATATATTATATCTAAGATTTTCCCATCCGCCCCGCTTCGTTCAATTTTGAGACCCTATTCCGCCCGTCAAAACTTTAAATTTCCGAACACAGGGACTTGCCCTGTAATCAGGATATCTTAACCCCTTTACACTCTCCACACATTGACGACAACTCGTGAAGATTGGATATTGGCACTATCATTCACATCTTGACCTTTAGTTTCATGCCTCGTAACCTAAGTCTTCGGCATTCTCACTTAGCGTTCGAGCACACGTTCACCTTCTCTCTTCTTCCTAGTACATCTATCACACCTTGACGTCGCCCAATCATGGTAGACACAGCTTTACTTTGGAACTCAAGTTATATCTTCTATGTATAAAGGTGCTCCTAGAGCTCGGAACTAACGGTAGGAACAGCCACAAAGATAGTGCAAACCCACCGCCGGAAGGATTTCCTTCCCCAATATCCCTACTTCTTTGAAAGTTGAGTATCTTCTCTTCTAGATCACACTCATCTCATATCTTTCATTTTGAGTATGTTTCATCTTATACTATCTCCATTCTCGCCACTTTTACCGCTACGATTTCTTCTGCTACTGCTATCTCGTCTGCTCATCACCATGAGGAATCCTCCATCTATTTCGCTTGAAATAATCTCTGGCAGAGTGTTCAATAGTCTGGAATGCAGTCCAACAATGAAGATTTTTAGACTCTCCAAACCAATTGGAACATTAAAACCATTCAAGATATTGAATTTGATTGGAAGATTGAACTGTTGTCAGATTTCTAACCGCTTTAGATATCCAAAACCTTACATTGTTAGGCTGTATTCCGGATTATTGGATACCCTGACATTGATCTGTAGCTAATGGCGACTTATTTTCCTAGACTAGACATGCCGCAGATAGGGCACGGGGCAATAGGCTCTAAACAGATTGGCTTTACGTCCATGCGTATCTGATACGAAATAGCACTGGACGGAGCATCTCTGGATAACTCTTGGCGTTCGAGCCTTTCATCTAAATCTCAGTTACCATCAGGGTACGAGGAGCCATTGTCTCTATATCAATGTGTTGAGGTCTGCAGCAAACGCTTGTAAACTACATGATAATGAGTACAGTAACGCCTAGCGTTGAGATATTTAGTGTTCGGCTCTTATGACCCTGTTCACAATGTTCTCAACCAGATGAAGTCATTTAGTGGTAAGTACAAGCGACTCTTTAGGGGGTTATACCCACAACTTGAGACAATTGGCTTGAGTCTCCATTCATGTCTTGTATCGCTGTAATGATTGTGTTGAGAAGAGTATTATAGAATCTGAACCACTTGCTTAGAGAAAATGGTAGTTTGGGATAGTTTGAGATAGTTGCAAGTCAAATGAATGATGAATGTTCGAGACGAGGTTGTCTAATCCCTTTGTGGAATAGTGATGTGATTAATGTCAGGGGATTAGATCGTATCTGCAAGTTGTCAAAGTGAGGGGTGCTCGCAATTATGTGCCGGGTTGAGCGGGGTGTCATAAAATAATGATCTGCGATTGGAGAAATTGAGGTGGATTGTAAAATTGCGATATTGGCTTGGTGGTAAATGATAGGTAATCATTTACAGAATCATTCATTCTTGTTGATCACTCTGATTGATTTCCAATCCAGATAGCTGTCGGTACCGTTAATATTTACACTTGGGGTAGGACCCATACGTTGGAAGGGCATTTGGTAACTTGTAAGATTGATCAACTCCCTCCAATGAAATCAAATGAACATCTTTTCGATCAATTGTAGATCACATCGTGAATCATTGAATGGTCTATTTTGACTCAGCAATTGGAATTAGGATTAGGATTAGGATTCGAGAAGGAAAGTACGAAAGGCACTTGTCGTGAGCACTGAAGTGAGGTAGAAACTTCAGTGAGTGTGTCACTCAAATGATCAATGGAGGGCACAATAAGATTGAACTTTCCTATGTCTCGAATCATACCTTTGGATTGCCAAATTGCGAGATACAGCATCTATAAATCGTTCCCTTGGTTCTTGATTTGCCTTGTGGGTTACATCAATCGATCGATACAGAGAGATTAGATCTAGACAATTCGAATTATGGAGAGCCGCCGATCGACAAATTGAGTAGATGGGCGGTAAGGTTATCTAAATTTCAGTCCATAGAAGGGAAGTAAATTAAAGTGCACCGAGGCAAGAACGGCAGAGAACCTCCTATTGCGGAAGGTGGGATGGTGGGGACGCCTTGACTTATATCCATCTAGGAAGGAAAGAAGTACATAGCAATCAAATCATTAGCAGATAAGGCGTGAAGGCTCGAGTTTTAGCTGCAGAGTACCCAGTGCTGTTAAAATATCCTAGTATGCATAAATGTTAATAGCCGGCGGTGGAGCCGGCGCGGCATACATCGCCGAGACGGGAAGCTACAACTTGGCTAGCGCCAACAAAGCTTGTATTTTGTGTTGATGGCGTTTTTTCGTACAGATATTTCAAGATAGCACGGGATTAGATCAATCTGATGAAAACGGGTGCTCCTCTCACTAACCCGAATCTGTGCGGGAGATTAACACCATTAGCTGGTTTCTACACCCCAGAAATAGAAACTCACATATATTTGTGAAGAATGGATTCTTCCCCTGAGCATGGCAAATGCCGACATTGAACCTTTTCAATACTGACCTGCCAAGAACAGTAAGTCTTGTCTTTGAAATGCTTCGTTTCAATAAACAAACCCTATATCGTTATTCAACGCAATACATGGTGATAATACGCCATCAAAGCATTTGATCGTTACCTTCCTTTCCGAGATGGAGAGAGGGATTAGATCAAGCATCAGGCACGAGTCACTGGTGAGTCTTTGAAGTATAAATAAGACGTTTCCATCTTCCTCTATCTCTTCATCCTCACATCTTCATCTTCACCTTGACTTGCCTCACCAGTTCTGTACTCTTTGCACCATGTTGTTCACCAGCCTTCTTGCATTCGCCGGCGCCGCTGCCGTATCGGCATCCCCAGTTGCCCAAGTCAAGTCTGCCGTTCTTCCGTTGTCCAAGAACCACAACATCACCTCCATCAAGAACATCGTTGACAAAGGCCAAGCCCGTCTCAACAAGGTCAACGGTATCGTAACCAGTGCCAAGCGTGCTACTGCAGTCAGCTCTGGCGCAGTCACTAACGATGATGTCTCCTACGTCGCCCCAGTCGTGATTGGAGGTGCCACATACTCTCTCATCGTCGATACTGGATGTAAGTTACTTCTCTAATCTACTCTTAAAAATCTTACTAATGATTTCACTCAGCCTCCAACACCTGGTGCGGTGCTCAGTCTTCTTGCGAGAAGTCCTCAACCGGTGTAGCCTCTGGTGGTTCCGTCTCTGTCTCTTACGGTAGTGGTTCGTTCTCCGGAAGGGAGTACACAGACGTTGTCAGCTTCGGCGGTCTTACCGTCAAGTCTCAATCCATTGGTGCTGCCACCAGCGCTTCTGGATTCTCTACCGTCGATGGCATTCTCGGTGTTGGTCCAGTTGATCTTACTGAGGGTACCGTTTCCGGCCTCTCTACCGTCCCAACCTTCATGGACAACCTCAAGTCCCAAGGCTCCATCACTAGTGAGGTTCTTGGTGTTTACTTCAAGCCAGAATCTGGAAGCGATGGCGACGACACTAACGGTGAGCTTACCCTCGGTGGTGTTGATACCACTAAGTACACCGGTACTCTTACCTACTTCCCTAAGGCCACATCTGGAGATGCCTCAAACTACTGGGGTATCAACATCGCTGGTTTCACTTACGGCACTACATCCCTCGCTACATCCGCTTCCGGAATTGTCGACACTGGAACCACTTTGATCTACATCCCAACCGCAGCTTACAACAAGTTCCTCAGTGCCACAGGCGGTGAAACCGAAAGCGCATCTGGTCTTGCTGTCTTCACCACCAAGCCAACAGCAAACTTCTCCATCAAGTTCGGAACCACCACTTACACCCTTACCCCAGCACAATACTTGGTCCCAGCCGCCCAATACTCCAGCTTCGGTCTTACCTCCGGCAATCACTACGCCTGGATCAACGACGGAGGTTCTTCCGGTGTCAACACCATCATTGGACAGAAGTTCTTGGAGCAATACTACTCCGTCTATGACACCACCAACTCCCGCATCGGTTTCGCTACCGCCGCATAAATCGGCATGGCTTTGACTTAAAGAATGTAACTAGAATCTCGCACCTATTATATAGCAAATTTACATTCAGTCAATAGTGTTTCGTTTTGATATTGATATTGATATTGATCATGTGATTGACCCATTGATTTTGAAGATTCCTCTTGAGTAATATGATCTGATAAAGAGTTCATGCTCCTAAGTATTAGCTCATCGAATGCCAACATATATATTGAGTGTACATTGAAAATATAGCCTAAATAAGACAGCAAAGCTGTAGAGGAGTGCTATACACTCGAAGATGAGAGAGTCTGCTACGTACACCCTCTCCCTCAATAACAGATAAATTTAGCTTTCAATGACGTAACTCTCAATTTTATAGTCAAGCAAGAACCTAGATTTAGCTAATCAGAAGATCAAGAAGATCTGGAAAATCTCCTATACTTAGAAAATCAATTCCTTTTTTCCTTTTCAAAATTAAAATCTCAATATTTTACTAGAACTAGGTAGAATAACAATATTTGCAAAAGTAAAATAATTCAAACTAGTATATACTAGACCCCAAATAGCATTTCTACTAATCCCGATACCCATATAAAAATGTTACTATATAGAATTATTACCGCAAAAATATCATTATTAGGACAAGACCCTCATCCTCATAGCTCGCTGCCCTCAGGAACTCCTATCAAATCGTTCTGCCTCCACGGGAGGCCCGAAGGGCTAGTAGAGTCTCATTTGCTTGATTTTTGCAGATTACCATGAGACCGGTGTTTGAGTACCCCTGATGCAACCGGCGCTGCGAAACTCAGACTATCCGTACCTGGGACTACAATGGCAATGTAATAATACACAATGAACCGCCATGCAATGAATACTCCTGTAGTAGCCCTCAAGTTCAACATTATTAGAGACTGGGTGGAAATCACTCCTTTGTGGACATCACTAAGTATCCGGCCCCTTGACTTTCCGGGAAGATCTTCGATCATATAGACATTTCAAGGTTGTCTACTCCTCACACCCTGCTCCATTAGATGACCACATGTCTGATGACGAGAAAGCTTGCGATACAATACGATGTGATACTTCAATATGCCAAAGAAAGATAGAAAAACCCAAGCATGCACTCGAACGCTCTCGAGATTACACGGAAATGAATTTGTCAAACCACCAAAGCTCAATGCGAACTCTATTTTCAAGAATTCGAGCTGCAATCCTAGAAGAGAATACTTTAGAAGCCACTTAAAACCATTATGCACACTGTCCCAGATTATACAAGTGCAAAGGTCCACAACAGTGCAAACATCCGAGCCTATAAAATCAGACCATAGCTATCACTAACAGGAATTGCGAGTACAGGTATATTTGAAGTAGGTTCACGCAGGTCCAATCCTGTTATTGAAACATAATGTGTGCCGTGCTGCGGACTCTTATATGCAAGAGAGTCCTAGCAAGCAAATTCTGATCGCCGATTTTGTAGATGTGAACACTGTGGAGGTGGAACAAGCAAGGTGAGAGGAAGCATGAGCAGCGACAGATGAAGAATAGAGAGCAGAATAGGATAAAAGAACCTGTATCTTTTGCCGACTTTCAATGCTTATTTTCTGAGAATCATGAGAATGAGAGATTCCAAAATATAAAATGGAAAGGGATAAGGAAAGATGAAATAAATGAGTTTAAATTGTGAATAGAGTACGATCTGAAAAAGTGTGTATGAGATAGAATCTCATCCGTGTTACTCCATTTTTTACAGTATGTATTGATGATATATCCAAACGAGAATCCTGACAGTCCTGGAATTTCCTAGTACTCATGGTAATATGCTTACTTGCCTCTACTCGATTTTGATGGCCAACTTGCCAAAATGTTTCTGATCCCACATGTATTGATAAGCCTCTTTAAGCTCATCCAGTCCGAATACCTTTTCGTCGACCACTGGTTTGATTTCGTTTGCATCAATTGCCCTGTTCATATCCTCGAACATCTCTCTGCTTCCTACTAGCAAGCCTCTAACGGTACAGACGTTTGTCAAACAGTCCAAGAACCCTGGCTCCTTTTCTTTTGCTTGTCCGCCCACAAATCCAATTATACTGATAACGCCGTCGATCTTGATGGCTCGTAGAGATTGTGCCATGGTAGTTGGACCGCCGACTTCGAGAATGTGCGATACGCCAGCGGACTTGGGAGTAAGGGATTTGGCATGTGCACCCCATTCTGGAGTGGTTTTGTAATTTATTACGTGATCGGCACCGAGTTTTTTGAGTGTCGAAGCTTTTGACTCGGAGGAGGTTGTGGCAATTACGGTTGCTCCAGCTGCTTTGGCAAATTGAACAGCGAATATACTAACACCACCAGTTCCTTGCGTGAGAACCACATCACTGGGTTTCAGCGGCTTTAATCCATATAGAGCATTCCAGGCTGTGACGGCTGCACATGGCAGAGTTGCTCCTTCGAGGTATGAAAGGGAAGAAGGCATGTCTACGAGCCCATTTTCGTTAAAGACACCGTGTTGACGAAGTGTACCATCCATGGCACCACCCAAGCCACTTTGCATAGATAAATGATCGAGCGAACCACCATAGTGAGTTTGACTGAAAAGAGTAAGGACCTTGGCACCGGGGGCAAATCGAGTTACTTTTGATCCAACAGCAAGGACTTCGCCAGCACCATCGGAGCCGGGAATTATACCATCTTTAAGTGGAAATGGATATTGGCCCTGAGGAAGAAAATGACTGGTTAGTTTCAACTACGGCAGCAGTATCACCAAAGGTAGCATTGGTTTTACAAACTTACTTTGGGGATTATCAAATCTCTGTAGTTCAATGAAGCAGCGTGAAATTTCACAAGAACGTCGTTCGCACCCAATTCTGGAAGTGTAGCTTGAGTATCATATTTCAAGCTATCGAATCCGTTTGATCCTTCGATTCTCCAAGTTTTGGTGGTTTTGGGAATTGATTGGGACATGTTGATTAGTTGTTAATTATATATGTAAATGTGAGTAAAGTATGAGGTTTCAATGAAAGGGAATATAAAGCTGTAAATGATGTTAATGTGACAAAGATGTGAGCAGATATATACCAAGTACAAAGAAAATGATGGCTAAGATCACCCCGCCTGAGTGGATTGTTAATAATCCACAACCTACTATCTCCTAGTTTGATGATGTAGACACGTCGGAGATATGATTTGACCATTGAGATTGTTTGATGGCATTCTCTTTGATGGAGAACTTTACTTAATCAATCATGCTGATTCCTCATCAACCAGAAACTCAAAATGAAACTAACCAGCAAAAATCTGAGCAAACGTATTGGCCATACGCAGTACGTGTATTGTGTTTCAGGAAAGTTGAAGCGGCATTACATAAGGAGGTGGAATAGACCTAAAAGATGGCCAGATCTTGACATGTCTTGATATTCTTTTGAGGTTATTCCCAGTGATGAAGCAATGACGTCTGAAGCCTTGGACGCCGAGATATGAGCGAACTACCTAGTACTAGGTAGTTAAACTCTGCCAAAGATCACATGATCCAACTAGACCACCAATCAATCTTCGTCTGAGACCCACCTCTCATCTTGGCTCTGATGATGGATGACAAATGATAAAATTTACTCATTGCCGGTACTTCGTACTGTGTAAGGTCGAGGAGAACCCAAATCAAACAAAACTTGCCATTCCTTGAACGGGTCTTAAGTACTAGGTATACATCGTATGCTGATAGTTGTACTCTCTCTGTACACTTCTCGCACGCACGAGATAATCTCGACCACCTATATATCGTACATTCACTACCAGCAGCTGCTATATAACGAGACCTTCGTAATTCTCGGACACTTTGTTCCTAGGCAAGATACTTCAAGTACCCATGAACAGACAAGCTTGAGATTCGGGATGGGGCATTCATTCATTATCAATCCGGCTGTACATGTTCGGCAGTCGCCTTCATTATGATTTCAAGAAATAACATATTCACATGCTTGTTACGAAGCTCAATGCCTTCGAGGTACTACCCCTAGTAACTTTTGAAGTACCTTCCCAAGTAGGTAGGATCTCAATACAGTCTAGAGTTCAATATTTGTAGGCATAACCATAGAGATTCGGATTAAGTTAAAGGAATGAAATTGGATTGGAGAGGTGAGTATTGGGTTTCAATTTCTAATCGCCTTACAAGCGCCTCAACTGGCTGACCTATCAACATGTGTTTAGTGACGGCGTTCATGGCGGCTGAGATTTCAATAGGTGCCAAAATTCGCACCGTTAAGATCGACTCTGAAAGATCATTCCATCAAGAGTGCTTAGACGATGACTGTCCAGAATTACTAAACCTAAGTGGTGGGATCGTAGTGGTACGATATACACCTAGTCCACCCTTACAATACTGCGACATTGATCTCATGTTGACTTCAAATGCGGTACCACATCGCCTCGAGTAATTCAGAGTGACACGACATCAGAATTGTCACTCGAGTTGGCATTCCATGCCATGGATAGCAGCGTCTGACCTCCAAAAAATATCCCAACACTCATTGTACAATTTTGACAATCTTCCTATGAGAGCATCTTTTGCATCGAAAAAGGCGTTTCTGACGGTCTTGTTCAGCATGTTTGTTAACACATGTGGCTAGGGGGAAATGCATCTTACTTTGTGATCCCAGCTCAATCTCATCCTAGTTCCAGAATGGAATGTACCAAGCCATCAAATTGTTTCGAATTCCTCCGATATCAATCTTTCGCCATCGAAGGACCGATATGAGTTTCTACATTGGTAAACATTTTCCGACCCTCCAAATTCGTGTTTGGTGCGATCTAAGAATCAGGTCGTGATCACCGTATGCCAAAAAAGCAAGAAATGGGGATCTTCAAGTCAGCTGGTGTTTGAGAGTGAAGAAAGTCAACCAAAAACTATAAAGATTATCAAGCTGTGAAACTTATGGCAAGAGGCTCGTTGATCTGGGGTAGCAAGGTAAAAAAAAGTGCGGGAACATCGGCCCATTCACCGCAGCGCTTCTCTCACAGTGCAGGTTTCACTAGAACGTGAAGTAATCGGAGATTTTTCCGTGGTTTTAATGTTCAATATTGGTCAACTTGTTCCTGGAAAATCAATATATCAGTACACGGGTCCAGACATTTCTTCTGCTCATGATTCGACAACCTCACGACGCACTTATGAACTTAGGATTCAAAAAAGGGGTCCCCGGGATGGTCTCAATGTATTATAATGGCACGTATACATTCATCTGGATAACCCTTAGTATATCGCGCCAGCCTTAAGATTTCCACCTCGATGGCGGCGGGTTTCGGCTCCTAAAGAGACACGGGCCATATTGCGCTTCTCGGGTGGCTGGCTAAAGCTTATCGTCTAACTAATATCTTTGACAACCTAGACACGGAGTCCGAGACGAAATGCCTACGTTATTTTTTTATCCTGGCACATGATATTACAAGGGACCATGGAAAGTAGGATTATCACATCCAAATACCAACAATCCGCCACCCCTGCCTGAAATGAATGAAATGAATGATTCGCATGATGACAAAATCTAATGTCACCTCGAGAAAAGAAGTAAGTACCGACTCTGGAGAAGAACAGAGTTACTTCTGATTCTCAAGGGAATGGGGGAATTTCACGGGGAAATTTAACATGGATCTCCTCGGGACTCCGCATTTTGGTCCTACTAACAGCTGCACCTGCATATGGCAGTTCCAATTTTCTCACGCTTATCAAGGCCTCGCACCTGGTAATACGTGGGGATCTTTTTGATCTGGAGAAGGATAGACCTTCAGGATTCTGTTGGATGTGCATATTGCATGCTGCACCCTTTCGAAAGCCTGATGTGACCCGACTGTTACCGACCTTGGAGATGAGATAGAGAGTGAATTTATGAATCGTTTTTATTGATCACGGCTTAAAATGTGACTTTGCTTACGAGCTTTCATCAAATCAACACAATCGATATGGGGTTGCCAAGAAGTTGGGGTCGGGCACAGAGTCACATTGGGATTAAAGCAACACTTATAAACGTGCAAGCGAAAGCATGTGCAGACGAGCAAGCTCGAATAAGGACGAGGAACATCGGACCGTTTGGTGCTTGGATGGTCAAGTAACCAGGAATAACCACTAACAATTCAATGAGAACAATACTGGTCGTACCATATCCGATTCCTTTTCGGTGAGTATGTATGAGAATTGACATGCATTCAGCACCAGCTAGACTCGAGTACCCAACCTCGCTAACGTACTATTTACTATCCATAATCTTATTATCGTGTCATGAATGTTGTTTGCATGTGTTTGTTGCATTGATCTTCCCAGAACATGTGTGGTTGTGTTCGGGAAGATGCTGCGAATGGAATGCTGCGTTGAAGATTGGAAACTGCTGACCATAAAGTCAGAATTTGGATTGATGATTGAAGTGTGGGGATCTTGTGCGGTGCCCGAAAGGAAGTTACCTCGGGCTGAAAATGGCGATCAGAGAGGGGGGCACTTGATGTACTCACCTCACAATGAAGTGTTATGCGCACCATTACGATGGATGACGATGGAATAATTATTTTAAATTCAATAATTAAGTACATGAGAAAGGTATCCAAAATATCTACTACGGCTTCTAGAAAAGCGGGATCTGAATCAAATATTGAAGTTTCATTGGCGCATTAATTGTCAAGATAGAGTTGGAGCACAAACTCATACCGAGTACGCACATATACACTACCAAAACATATAATCTAATTAAGAAAGAAAACAAGCAAGCAGGCAAGCTTTCATTGAGAAATGTACTTGCACATCACATTACGGATCTCAGCACCGTATCATCACTAAATTGACGCCACCCACTTTCACCTCTTCTTTCACATTTGTGTCAACTCGATGTACCGAGTAGATTAAGATGAAAAGGGGTGTGGGGAAAGGTAATTCTAAAAAAGCTATGGAGAAATAAGGTCTCGAGGGGGGAAATGAACACAGATCATTCATTACCTTGTCCCAACAACGATGATTGTCGTCCTTAAAATTTCCTAAAATTTCCTGGTCATACCAACATCGGAGGAGGGGGTCGATTTGGGTTGAACTAGGTTGACTCGAGGGGGGCCCTGATGATCACTCATTTGAGAATTTCGATTTCAAGGGATGTGGAATCTGGATTGTCTTGACAACTTCCTGAATAACTCACTCGTTCATGTGTGCTACACTACTAAAAGACAATAGTAGAGATCGTATCCCTGATCCCGTTTTCTTGGGGGTGATTTATTGCGCAAGCTCATGGACTAGAACACTAGAACACTGTTGACAAGATTAAGAACTGCCAATTGAAGGATAGAGCCGTGTCCTACCGAGTTGACTAATTTTCCTTTTGTCCAATCCTTCTCAATCCACTGAATAAAGTTGACGGATGGCAAATATTAAGATTTCGCCAGAGACTCGCTCCGCTCCGTTCTCCACTCCACCAATAGCTAGTTAAACGAGCTACTACTACATATTTGGACCTCAACCAAGTCATGGATTGAATGGCAAAACGAAACAACGAGATTATGAAAGTACTGCAGGAGAGAGAAAGCGAAAAAAAACGATAAGTGATATTATCTTTATCATACCCTATACCTACATTGTTACTGGCCGTCCTCGTTTATATTGAGTATTATTGGGTGAGTGTTGGAATTTCAACAAAAAATTCAAACCTGGTTCACACCAACCACCAGAGCATCCTTGATGATTCAATCTTCGATTTCAAGATTTTCGGAAAAAGTATGACCGAAGGAAAAGACATTCGGAGGTGATGCCACCGTGGGGTAGGCTCTCCGAGACCAAAAGACCAGCATCTGCATACCCTGGACCTATTCGCTGATTTTCTTAATCCTTGTTCTCTCCACAAGTTAAGATCAATAAATTTTAGGAAAGGAACATGCCTCTTGTCCTTTACCGGTACTTCATGCGAACCCCGCCATATAGTTAATAGACTTTATTAGTTCATGAGCTCATGTTAGAGACTTTGCCCTGTCATCTTGTGCCTATTATTTTAGCTTTTATTTCCCCTTCCAAGACGGTCCTGCTGATATACAGGGAGCCAAGGTATATGTCAGTTCCATGCCGTATTCAGGAGATATAGATGCTCGAATCGCACTTTTACAAACATCCTCGAACCTTATTTACTTGCATCTTCTGGAAAGCTCGTCAGCTATCAACTATTAAATCTGCCAACCATTAACAGAGCTTCCATCACAGCTAGATTAAGTCTCTTCAAACCAACCTTGTTCTAGCAACTTTGTTTGCGCATCAACTCCAAAATGCTTTCCAATCCCCTTCACCGTTTCTCGGCATATAATACTATGCCCTCAAACAATATGCTGTCTAACGGACACTTACCATCCAATCATATGCACACTTCAGGCTTAGATACTCTTGCTCATGGCTCACAATATGCTATCTCACAGCTTCACCAACAACAAGTGGACATTCGTCAAAACTCACAGAGTCACAGAAATGCTACTTCAAAACATCGACAGCATCCTTATGCAATGGGAATGCCAGGAGGCAACGCTACATCTGCTAGAGGGACCGGGAATTCTGGACCAATTCGAAGGAGGATCAGCAGAGCTTGCGATCAGTGTAATCAGCTCAGAACTAAATGCGATGGTCAAAGTCCCTGCGCTCATTGTGTCGGTAAGTATTTTCATTGAGATCTAACGGATAAGGCTCATGAGGATATAGAATTTGGACTAGGATGCGAGTATATCCGTGAACGAAAAAAGCGAGGAAAAGCTTCCCGAAAAGATCTTGCGCAACAAGCCGCCGCCGCCGCTGCTGCCAATGGACAAAAATCACCTACTGATCAATCGTCCGAAGAGAGATCGCCCGTGGAGTCCCACAATGATCCAACTTCCGCCATTTCCTTGACAAACGAAAATGTTGAATTCCCACGACATACACCATCCAGGTCTTTAAGTCTTAACACAGCCGCAGTTGAAAAGCCTTCAGCTCGTGAATTGATGAAAGGAAGAATTCGTGCTGGTAGTCTCGAAAGCCTTACAGAAGTACCATCCCAAGGACATCCGCCCCACGTTAGCCGCGCAGACGTCGATCAAATCGGGAGCCCTGGGTCCCTGAATTTGCATGGCTACTCAAGCATGCACGGTTACCGCTCTACCTTAAATCCCCACATGATGAACGGCAGTGGCAGTCATGCAAACTTTAACACGGCGCAGACCGGTTATTCAGATCTACCCTATGCTATACAGGGCCAAAGCCCGCCTAATTTTACGGGTAATACCCAAGGTCAGTTTCGTTTAGCCGAAAGCCCTTTGACCGGTTTTCCTATGGGCTCTGAGGCCCCTTCACCCGGTGGGTGGATGTCATTACCCTCTCCTTCAAACCAGTACCAACACGTGACACATCAGAACTTCAATGCACCTCTACGATATCCCGTGCTACAGCCATTGG